GGCTTTATAGGTAAGAACCTGTACCTTGAATTGGGACCGGAAGATGAACGGCAGCCAATGGAGCTCCTTAAACAGGGGGGTTGACCGCTCCCTGTAAATTGCCCCAGTTATTACTCTGGCCGCCGACCGTTGGACAAGTTGTAATTTCTGGGCCGTATTCAAGGGTAGCCCCACGTAGAGAGCATTGCAATAGTCCAGTCTAGAGGTATGGTCGCAGTTGGCACACGAGTTTTAATTGTGCGAAGGCCCTCCCGGCCACCGCTGACACCTGCAAATCAAGCGACAGCGCTGAGTCCAGGAGAACCCCCAAACTGCGGACCTGTGACTTCAGGGGGAGTGCAACCCCGTCCAGCACATGTTGTCACCCAATACCACAATCAGACAGGCGACTGACCTGGAGGACCTCTGTCTTGTCAGGATTGATCCTCAGTTTGTTCCTCCTCATCCAGATCGTCACAGCGGCCAGGCACTGGTCCAGTGTCCGAGGGGCTTCCTTGGAGTCTGGTGGAAATGAGTAGTGGAGTTGGGTGTCATCTGCGTAGAGATGACACCGTACTCCAGATGACCTCTCCCAGCGGTTTCATGTAGATGTTAAAAGGTATGGAGGACAGAATGGATCCTTGCGGGACCCCACAGGTCAATGGCCAGGGATCCAGGCAGGAGTCCCCTAGCTTCACCGACTGGGAACGATCCTCCAGGAAGGACCGGAGCCACAGAAGAACCGTGCCCCCGAGACCCATCCCAGCAAGCCTCCCCAGAAGGATACCATGGTGGTTGGTATCGAAAGCTGCTGAGATGTCCAAGAGAACCAGCAGGGTCACACTCCCCCTATCCAGTTCCCTGCGAGGTCATCCACCAAGGCGACCAAAGCCGTCATAGCTTAAGATCCACCGGGGAGGTCCTGCTCTCAGTCCCACTGGCTTCGCAAACGTGTCTGGTGGGGACGAGGGACAGGGCCTTCTCAGTGGCGACCCCCCGCTTGTGGAATTCGTTCCCCAGCGAGATTAGATCGGCATCCTCCCTCCTTTCCTTTAGGAAAAAATTGAAATCGTGGTTTGGGAACCAGGCTTTTGGCTAGTAGGCACAGCAGCACTTTGGACATTGAATTGGACCATGATTGTTATGATAATGGAAACGGCTATGTGACTGTATAATTAATGTTTTTGTTTTTAATTTTTGTATATTTATGGTTTTATATTGTTGTTGTATTGATATTGCGGCATCAAATTGTTGCCAATGTTAGCCACTCTGAGTCCCCCCCTCGGGGGTTGAGAAGGGCGGGGTAAAAATGCTGTAAATAAATAAATAAAATGTGGTCTATCCAATGCAATTTTCTGAATCAGCACCCCAAATCGTTTTTAAAGTTGACTAAAAACTGATTCATACCCTTTTGGTACTAAGGGTTCATCTTTACTTGTCCGAATGCATCCACCCCTACATCCCACCTCGTAATTTAAGATCATCCGGGGAGGCCCTGCTCTCGCTCCCATCAACAGCACAGATGCACCTGGTGGGGACGAGACAGGGCCTTCTCGGCTCTGTAAAGGTATAACTAACTCATCATAATAACTCTGTTTTTTTATCCCTATATTCCTTTTTATTCCCTGTGTGCCCCTCACCCATCCCCGTCCCCATTCCCTTCCTATGAAATGTTTTAACTTAATCTAAGTCTTAATAAAAACTATTTGGAAATTTGGAACGAGGAAGAGAGGATATTTGAAAAGATGGAAGGAAAACAGGGAGGTCAATCAAAAAAGAGGAATGGGAGGAGGTATGTACTAAAAAAATAAAATATACGTGTGCAATGGAACTAAAAGAGAACCGGTTTAAGATGGTCCACAGGTGGTACATGACCCCACATAAATTAGGGATATACTAAAAAACCTGGGCATGTGCAATACATGGTTCTAAATGGTTCTAAAGTACTTACAAAACTAAAGTTCTGGTGGTGAAAACTAGGGGGCACTGGTGATTTGCTTCTACAGTGTTGCTAAAGTTCTGGTGGTGAAACTTTCAGAACTCTTAACACAGCGTTTCTCAACCTGGGGGTCGGGACCCCTAAGGGGGTCACAAGGGGGTGTCAGAGGGGTCGCCAAAGACCACCGGAAAGCACAGTATTTTCTGTTGGTCATGGAGGTTCTGTGTGGGAAGTTTGGCCCAATTCTATCATTGGTGGGGTTCAGAATGCTCTTTGATTGTAGGTGAACTATAAATCTCAGCAACTACAACTCCCAAATGTCAACTTCTCTTTTCCCCAAACTCCACCAGCGTACACATTTGGGCATATTGAGAATCCGTGCCAAGTTTGGTCCAGATCCATCATTGTTTGAGTCCACAGTGCTCTCTGGATGTAAGTGAACTACAACTCCAAAACTCAAGGTCAATGCCTGTCTAACCGTTCCAGTATTTTCTGTTGGTCATGGGAGTTCTCTGTGTCAAGTTTGGTTCAGTTCCATCGTTGGTGGAGTCCAGAATGCTCTTTGATTGTAGGTGAACTATAAATCCCATCAACTACAGCTTCCAAATGTCAAAATCAATCCCTCCTCAATCCCACCAGTATTCAAATTGGGGCGTACCGGGCCAAATTTGGACGCCCGGATGAGTTGATGTTTTTATTCTCATGGGAGGCTTCTCTCATGTCCCCGCATGAGGAGCTGGAGCTGATAGAGGGAGCTCATCCGCCTCTCCCCGGATTCAAACTTGCGACCTGTCGGTCTTCAGTTCTGCCGGCACAGGGGTTTAACCCACTGTGCCACCGGGGGCTCCTAATAATGAAATAATAATGAAATTTTGAAAGTTTTGTTAGAGTTCTGAAATTTTCACCACCAGAACTTTAGCAACACTGTAGAAGCAAAGCACCAGCACCCCCTAGTTTTCACAACCAGAACTTTAGTTTTGTAAGTACTTTCGAACCATTTAGAACCATGGATTGCACATGCCTAATAAAAACATTAATTCAAAATGCTGAAAATGTGGAGAAATTGAAGGAACATACTATCATCTATGGTGGTCGTGCAACAAAGCAGTAAATTATTGGAAGAAGATTCAAAAAATTATACAAGAGATGCTTGAAATGGATATTCCTAGAAAACCGGAAACCTCCTTCCTTGGAACACAAAATCTAAAACTCGACAAAAATAAAGATAAACTACTATTCATATTAACAACGGCAGCTAGAATTTCTTACGCAAGAAGATGGAAAGAGGAAAAGACCCCGGCAGAAGAAGAATGGTGGACAAAAACACAAGATGCAAGAAACATGGATAAACTTACGTATTTACTGTCTGAAAAGAAGGGCATTTCAAGGGAAGAAAGAGATTGGAAACAAGTAACGGCATATTTAATAAATGAAAAAAGATGAAAATATTTATTTAAATAAAAGGAAGGAAATGGAAAAAAACAAAAAGAGGGAGAGAGAAAAAAAGAAACAGAAGAAAAGGAAATGGAGAGAACCTCAGAGAAGATGCCGGGAAGTCAAGTTCTCTACACTCTTACTTGATTTTAACGCTATCTATCTATATATCTTTTTTACTTTCTATTTACTATCCTCTAGCCATCTTATTTCTTTCCATTGCCTCCCCGCTCCACCATAAACCCTCCCCCCATTCCTCAAACCTCCTAGCCATACCCCACACTAACCTAGATCTTCATCTTTATATACCTATTTCAATTTCCATCTAAAGATATTTGCTATTTTATTATAATGTACTCTTTTTAAAAACTAAATAAAGATTATCTATATACAAATAAATGCTCTGTGCATAATGAGTACCTTATAAACAAAAGAACCAATGAACAAAATCATACCAAATTTGGCAACAAAACGTCTCACAACACAAGGAGTGACCACTCAAAAAAATTATGATTTTGTCATTTGGGAGTTGTAGTTGCTGGGATTTATAGTTCACCTACAATCAAAGAGCATTCTGAACTCCATCAATGATGGAATTGAACCAAACTTGGCACACAGAACTCCCATGACCAACAGAAAACCATAGAAAGGTTTGGTGGGCATTGACCTTCAGTTTTGGAGTTGTAGTTCACCAACATTCAGAGAGCACTGTGGAGTCAAACATTGATGGATCTGGAGCAAACTTGGCACGAATACTCATTATGCCCAAATATAAACACAGATGGAGTTTGGGGGAAATAGACCTGGACATTTGGGACTTTTAGTTACTGGGATTTATAGTTCCCCTACAATCAAAGAGCATTCTGAACCCCACCAACGACAGAATTGGGGCAAACTTCCCACACAGAACCCTCATGACCAACAGAAAATACTGTGTTTTCTGGTGGTCTTTGGCGACCCTTCTGACACCCCCTTGGTGACCCCCCCAGGGTCTTGACTTCCCAGGTTGAGAAATGCTGCCTTAAAGCCATCCAGGCCAACTCCCTTCACCAGGGCAAGAAAACATAATCAAATCCCTCCTGACAAAGAGCCATCCAGCCATTCACACACACACACACACACACACACACACACACACACACACACACACATGTATATGACAGATGCAGTACCAAAGATTTGAAAAGGACTCTTAAAGAAGAAACTTGTATGAATTGTATGAGTTGTATTTTAATGTATTTTATATTGATGATTTATAATGCTTTTCTTATTGTATTGAATTTTATGTTGTTAGCCGGCCTGAGTCCCTCTTCGGAGGTCGAGAAGACCGGGTTATAAAAACTCTATATAAATAAATAAAATAAATAAGGACAATGATATGTTGCGTTCCAGAGTAGGCAAACCAGGCACTCCCCACATCAACACTGGCAAAGAAACAGCAAGAAATACTGTTTACCCACAAGCATAAAGACATTACATATATTAGAAACCAACCCTTTCTCATTACTTTATTTTCCAGATCAACAGACTGGGCCACAGCAATGCGTGGCAGGGGACCGCTAGTATATATATATCTCCTATGTGTAAATAAAAAAAGAAGGCATCTCTTTGCCTGCCTTGGAACTCCTCCTCTCTTTCTCTTCCGCAGGCCACCCTGATCATTGAGTTTGCCAACGTGGTCCAGCCAGTGCAGGTGGCCTTCCAGCAGCAGGTTCAGACCCTGAAGGCGCAGCACGAGGAGTTTGTCGCCAGCCTCACCCAACAGCAGCAGCAGCAACAACAACAGCTTCAGATCTCGCCCCTTGAAAGCGAGGTGAAGCCGGCCCCCGCTCCAGCCCCGGCACCCCCTCCAACTGCCCCCATTGCTCAAGCAGGTAGGACTCACTGGGGAGGGGAGGGGAGGGGAGGGGAGGGGAGGGGAAAGTAGGGCTGCTGTCCTCTCCTTTTTGCCTTGTCTTTTATTCATGTTGTATTTTGAAATGGTCATATGACTGGTCAAATAAATAAATTATTATTATCACAGCTCAGGCCCCCTCTACTCTTGTTAGGTCAAGTCCATATAGTCTGCTTTGAACTGCATTCTCTTGCAGCCTAGAGCCAGCCTCGGGCACAGCACAAAGGGGCTGTTGGTCAGCCATCGGCCCTTCAGCACAATGACCCAGTGGGTCATTGTGTCACAGGGTGTGTTCGTACAAGTGATTTACAGGTAGATAGGTAATAGGCATATGCAATTCATGGTTCTAAATTGTTCTAAAGCAGTGGTTCTCAACGTTCCTAATGCCGTGACCCCTGAGTACAGTCCCTCATGTTGCGGTGACCCCCAACCATAACATTGTTTTCGTTGCTACTTCATAAACGTCATTTTACTACTGTTATAAATCATAATGTAAATATCTGATATGCAGGATGCATTTTCATTCACTGGACCAAACTGGGCACAGATACCCAATACACCTAAATGTGAATGCTAGTGGGGTTGGAGGAGGATTGATTTTGTAATTTGGGAGTTGTGGTTTATTTATTTGTTTATTTGACTTGTATACCGCCACTCCCAATTTGGCTCGGAGCGGTTTACAGCAGTATATTAAAACAATACAATTAACTTTAAAATACAATAAAACAAGAACAGACAGTTGCTGGGATTTATAGTTCACTTATAATCAAAGAGCATTCTGAATTTTTTTGGATTTGAACCAAGCTTGGCTCCGATGACCAGTGGAAAACACTGTAAGGGTTTGATGGGCATTGGCCTTGAGTTTGGGAGTTGTAGTTCACCTATATCCAGAGAGCACTGTGGACTCATGCAATGGTGGATCTGTAACAAACTTGGCATGAATATTCAATATGCCTAAATGTGAACACTGGTGGAATCTGGGGAAAATAGATCTTGACTTTTGGGAGTTGTAGTTGCTGGGATTTATAGTTCATTACAATCAAAGAACTTTCTGAACTCCACCAATGATAGAATTGGCTCAAACTTCCCACATGGAATCCCCATGACCATCTGAAAATGGTCTTTGGTGACCCCTCTGACACCCCCTCACAACCCCCCCAGGGGTCCCGACCCCCAGGTTGAGAAACACTGTTCTAAAGTGTCCCATTCTGATGACCTATTAGCAGGTGGCCCTATAAGGATGATGAAAGAATCCATCTCTCTCTCCCCTATGTGATTCATTATGAGTATCTGTTAGTGACTCTGAGGTTCTGACTGTTTCTAAGTCTGAAAGTGGATCTACAAATCCTGACTGTACATTTGTTTATATTGTAACGGTGAAGATTAAAGCCTTTGGATATTTTGGATGAAAACCTGAATCCATGAGTTTGCTAAACAGTGTGTGTAGATAAGGGCAGATGCTGGCAGTTGGACTCTGTATTTTGCTTGCTTCTGGGACACTTGCTACCCAGCTTGCAGTTGTTCAGGGAGGTCATGCTTTGGAAACTATAAATCATTTCAGGAATCCACCCCACAAAACAATGGCCCATCATGAGCTGAATAGCTGACGGCTGACCAACTGGGTTCCAAATGCCAAACTGTCCTATTTTTTCTCTGGGTGTCATGACCTCCTTTCCTGGTGTTGTGGGGAACCATGAAAGTAGGCCATTCTTTGGCCTGTAGTTCACTTGAAGCAAGGGAGAGGGTTTCCATGGAAATGGGGCAGTGAAGGAGAGGGCCAAAGTGAGGGATATGAGATGAGAGGGAAACCAGCTGTCAGATAGAACTTTGCTTGTAACCGTACTGTATGCTTTGAGAAATAAAGCCCTTCCAATCTGTCTGTGAGGTAATTCCTTCTCTAGAAAACTGCAGATCAGGACATAAATTTCCATTTGACAGCTGGTTTCTCTCTCGCCTCATATCCCTCACTTTGGCCACCCCCTTCACAGCCCCATTTCCATGGAACACTGGGGCGAATTTAAACTCAGTCTGCTGCATTGCCAAATGTACTATAAAAGCTGCCCACCTGAGAGATCTCTCTCTCACACAAAATGGGGTCATAAAAATCACCAATAATGAAATTTTGAAAGTTTTGTTAGAGTTCTGAAATTTTCACCACCAGAACTTTAGCGACACTGTAGGAGCAAAGCAACATCGCCCCCTAGTTTTCACAACCAGAACTTTGGTTTTGTAAGTACTTTAGAACCAAATAGAACAGGGGTTCTCAAACTAAGGACCTGGGGGCCGGATGTGGCCCTCCAAGGTCATTTACCCGGCCCTCGTTCAGGGTCAACCTAAGTCTGAAACGACTTGAAAGCACACCACAACAACAACAATCCTGTCTCATTTATTTATTTATTTATTTGCAGCTTTTATATTTCGCCCTTCTCACCCCGCAGGGGACTCAGGGTGGATTACAGTGTACACATATATGGCAAACATTCAATGCCAATTTTTGACATACAAACATATACAGACATACACAGAGACTATTTAACTTTTTCTGGCCACCAGGGGAGCTGTCGCTTTCATCGTCCATCTGCGACGCTGATGAAGCACTTCCGCATTCCTGCATGCTTCCCCGCTGGAATGCTTTGCTGGAGTCTTCTTGATGTCCTCATAAATTAGTTAATTTAGCCTCCCCACACTTTAAGGTGGTACCTTATTTTCCTACTTGACAGATGCAACTGTCTTTCGGGTTGCAAAGGTCGACAACAGGCTACGCACAGTTGGTTGGAAACCCACTCCAACCCGGGCTAGCTTCGAACTCATGACCTTTTGGTCAGAGTGATCTTATTGCAGCTGACACTCAGCCAGCTGCGCCACAATCCCGGTGCCTACTATATACCTATATCTCATCAGCTAAAAGCAGGCCCACACTTCCCATTAAAATACTAATAAGTTTATATTTGTTAAAATTGTTCTTCATTTAAATTATTATATTGTTTTAAGTGTTTTTTGCACTACAAATAAGATATGTGCAGTGCGTATAGGAATTCATTCATTTTTATTCAAATTATAATCCGGCCCTCCAACAGTTTGAGGGACTGCGACCTGGCCCTCTTTTTAAACAGTTTGAGGACCCCTGATTTAGAACCATGGATTGCACATGCCTACTATATACCGATATCTCTTTCATCTATGTCTGTCTGTCTAGTATTTATCATCTATCCATTTATATACATATCTCTATCGATCTATCTATCCATATAGTATTTATCTACATCAGTCCATCTATATACCTATCTCTGTATCTATCTCTCTATTCTTTAGCCTTGAGGAGAGGTGGGTACAAATAAAATGTATAATTCTCTTATCTACTCTCTCGATCTTCCTATCTACCTATCCATCTCTAGGATGGTGTCTTCAGCCTTCCTAAGCTTGAATAGGCCCTTAGCCAGACCCCAGCTATACAATTCCGTTCAATCCACGCATCCCACTTTCAGTGGGCTAGCAGTTCAGGGGATCCCAGTGGGCCTTTGTCCCGTGGCTCAGCCATCACTCTCCCCTCCGCAATCCTTTCTCTTTCAGAGGAGGGAAAGGCCCAGCTGCCGCTCGCAGGCGCTGCTTCTGCTACTGCTGAGTACGAAGCCGCAGGTGCCGGAGGGACCGACCCCGCCGTGACTGGACCTCGGGGGGCTCACGAGCATCTCCCCCCCAACAAGCCGCCTTGGTTCGACCACCCTGTCACCCCTTGGGCCCAGCAGCAGGTAAAGGAAGGGCGGGACAGCAAAGAGGAGGAGGCAAGGAGGCCTCTTGGATGATGAGGATGATGGTGTTGACCCCAGGCTCTTTCCCTCCCTCGCTGCAGCCACCGGACCAGCCTCCTTTCCCGCACCACCCGGCGCCCCCGCACTGCCCCCCTTGGAACAGCGGTGGCGGGGCCCATGAGGGGATGTGGGGCGAGCAGCGGGAGCCTGGCTGGAACAACCAGCGTGAAGCCGCCCCTTGGAACAACCAGCCGGAGCCCCCAGCCTGGAACAACCAGTTTGAGGCCCCTTGGAACAACCAGCATGAGCAGCAGCCGCCCCCGCAGCAACAGCCGCCCCCGCCTCCTCCTCCACCATGGGGCGGGGGCCAGCGGGAGCCCCCCTTCCGCATGCAGCGTCCGCCTCACTTCCGGGGACCCTTCCCTCCCCACCAGCAGCAACAGCAGCAGCACCCCCCACAATTCAACCAGCCCCCGCATCCCCATAACTTCAACCGCTTCCCCCCGCGCTTCATGCAAGACGAGTTCCCACCGCGGCACCCCTTCGAACGGCCACCCTACCCCCACCGCTTCGACTACCCCCAGGGGGACTTCCCACAGGGTGAGTGGCCTTGCGGAACGGGCCTGGAAATTTGGGGCCGGGGAAGGGGGGGCTCTCAGGGGCGTGGGAACTACCCTCGAAATTTTTACAAGCATTGTTTTTCAGATACAGAAGAAGCTTGACTTACAAGCATCCCAACTTAAGAGTGTTTTGAGTTAAGAGGCATCTGACCCGTGTTTTGCTTTGACCTACAAGCAGTGTTTTGAGTTAAGAATGAGCACCAGAGAGTAGACATATCATAGTGGTACCTATTATAGCAGTGGTTCTCAACCTGTGGGTCCCCAGGTGTTTTGGTTTACAGCTCCCAGAAATCCCAGCCAGTTTACCAGCTGTTAGGATTTCTGGGAGTTCAAGGCCAAAACATCTGGAGACCCACAGGTTGAGAACCACTGTGTTATAGGGTTGAAGTCTCACAGTGATGCTTATAATAGGGTAGAAGTATCACAGTGAGGGGGTGTGTTTGCTATGTTTGTTACTGTCATTGTTATATTTTGTTTGTTTTGTAACTATTTGTACTAGTTGTAATTGTTGTATATCAATTACATATAAAATAATTATGGGAGTCAGCTTAATGTACTTATTATTATTATTATTATTATTATTATTATTATTATTTCTATTTCTACCTCACTTTTCTCTCCATAAGGAGACTCAAAGCATATCAAAGATAGACTCAAAGATAGATTTATTTATTTTATTTATTTATTATTTGAACTTATATGCTGCCACTCCCCTGGGGCTCGGAGCGGCTTACAAGAACAGGCTAAAATTGAACAACAATTTAAAAACAATTTAAAACAATTTAAAAACAGCAATGATATTGTTGTGTCATTATTATTATTATTTCTACCAAGTCAGATGGCCTTTTGCAGTTGACAGATCGTGATTTTGTCAATGTTTATTGTTTCCAAATGCTGGCTGAGATCTTTTGGCACGGCACCTAGTGCGCCGACTACCACTGGGACCACCTGTACTGGTTCTTGTCAGGGCCTTTGATTATGCTTACTGATTATTGATACTGAGAGCTGTGCTGGCGGTAGTGTAACTACCAGCAGGTCCAACCAAGTCAGAGAGGTCATTTATATGTGTTTAAAATTGAATAAAACCTATGGGTTAGGTGTGCTTAGTTCCACTCAGCTGTGGAGTGGAACTAAGCACACCTAACCCATTAGCACTATGAAGAAAAAAAACCAAAACGAAGTCTATACTGGCTCGGTCGCTGCCCAGAATAAAAAGGACCACATTGGATGCTGCTGATTCTGGACATCTATCGACAAGTGGGCTGCAGAATCAAAATACAAATGAACAATCACAGAAGCGGCAGAAATATACAGTGCCAGAAAACCGCACTATTATTATTATTATTATTATTATTATTATTATTATTATTACTAGCATTACTATTATTTTACTGACACAAAAACACAGTATGTCACAGCAAATGAGATATATATGTTGTATTTCGTATCACAAAATCACAAGTCGAACACTTCCCAAGCGTCGTAAGACTGTGTGATGTATTTTTGAACCATGCACGCAGATCCAAGGAAGGTGGCCTTTTGCAGTTGACAGATTGTGATTTTGTCAATGTTTATTGTTTCCAAATGCCGGCTGAGGTCTATTATTATTATTATTATTATTATTATTATTATTATTATTATTTCTACCCTGCATTTCTCTCCAAAAGGAGACTCACAGTAGCTCAAAGATAGACTCAAAGAGAGATAGAGATGATGTTTATTTCTACCCTGCTTTTCTCTCCATAATAAGGAGACTCAAAGTGGCTTCTGTTCAAAGCAATTAGCGCTCTCTCTTTTTGGCTTTGCAGAGATGGGTCCTCCGCACCATCACCCGGGACACCGGATGCCCCACCCAGCCATTGGGGAGCACCCCCCATGGGGTGGACCGCAGCACCCAGACTTTGGTCCCCCGCCTCACGGCTTCAATGGGCAGCCTCCCCACATGCGCCGGCAGGGCCCCCCTCATGTCAACCACGACGACCCCAGCCTGGTGCCCAATGTCCCCTACTTCGACCTCCCGGCTGGCCTCATGGCCCCACTGGTCAAAGTAAGTGGACCTGGAGGGAGTGTGGGGGGTCACAGGCCGAGGAGACCCCCCCCCCCCCCATAAACACACACACGTCTGATGTGTGTTCCTTTTGGGGCAGATGGGATGGGAAGACACTCTGAGAAGGCCCTCCTCGGTTCACGAGTTCTCTTTCTTCCTGTTTAGCTGGAAGACCACGAGTACAAGCCTCTGGACCCCAAGGACATCCGCCTACCACCCCCGATGCCCCCCAGCGAGAGGCTGCTGGCGGCCGTGGAGGCCTTTTACAGCCCCCCCTCCCATGACCGGCCCAGGAACAGGTGAGGAGCCCTCCTTTCTCTCTGGAGAGTTGGAAGAGATCTCCAGGAGCGTCCAGTCCCTTTCCCTTTGGCCATTCAGGAAAAACACCCATCAAAGCCCTCCTGACAGGTGGCCTTTCAGCTCAGAGAAGTCTTGGGACCTGAAAAAGTGAATTTTGCAAGGAAGAAGGAGGTTCAAGAATGGGCTAATCAAGGGAGCTAAAAGGAACAAGGAGGAAGAGGGAAGGAATGTGGAAAGAGAGAAGCGTTGCAAAGCCTTGCAAAAAGTGTGCGGAAAGTCAGAAGAGAGATTGAGTTGACCCGACAGTGGCGGGAAGGGGAGGGAAAGAACATGCACAGGGAATGCTTTCCAAAACAAGATTGTTTACAGAACCAAAAAAAAAAAAAGGAGACAGGGAGGCCAAGCTGAGAGGGGAAGTGGACAGAGGGGAAAGGGACGTTTCGATTGCATGAGTATGTGCATATTTGTGTCCGTTTTGAGATTATCAAACCCATAATGCACGACGATCAAACGTGGCCGTAATCTTGATGCTTTTCTTGGCTTGGCTTGATTGGAAAACCACCTCCAAGTTCCTTTGGCAGAATATATATTGGAAATTCCCAATTTTAGGACCTTTAACCTGATGTCTACTAGGCATAGAGCATTCACGGTGGTGGCTCCTTACCTGTGGAATGCCTTGCCAGCGGAAACACGAGCTCTCCAAGACTTACTATTTTTTCGTAGAGCTTGTAAAACTTATTTATTTAGGCTGGTATTCGAATCTTGCTGATTGAAAATTTTCTTTGATTTTAAATGTAATGTATCGCATATGTATATTGTAAACCGTTCCGAGCCTTCGGGGAGTGGCGGTATATAAAATTGATTGATAAATTTTTTAAAATGCCATAACCTCTTGGAAGTAACTGCACCATAACCTTATTGAAAAAGTAAAAATCACGTCACATCTGTCTGGCAAGTGTGAATCTCCATGAACATGTGGAGACCACCTTTTGAAAACCACTAATCAAGAAAAGTGTGACCTTGTTAGAAGTCAGTTCTTTGAACAAGTGATATCCACAAGCATTCGTGTAATGGCACAGAGGTTACATCCACTGTTAAGACTGAAGAACCATGTCATTATACTGCCAAAGATAAAGACCTGCCGCTACAAAAATATATTGGGTTAGCAAAGGATCATTGTTTCTTTGCAGTTGTAATTGCCGAAAAAGATATACACTTCCTTGAAACCTTATTTAAAATATGCACTCAAAGATAAAAACAAAATCATCTTTGAAAAATAATATATCTTGTTTACTCATAAACAACTTGTATTAATTCACCATACAGGCACTTTTCTTATTGAAGTTTAGTTATAAATAGATATACTGTATATACTCGAGTATAAGCCTAGTTTTTCAGCCCTTTATTTAGGCTGAAAAAATCCCCCTCTGCTTATACTTGAGTCAAGGTTATTTATTATTTTACTGTTATTATTATTATTATTATTATTATTATTATTGCAATTATTATTTGCCTTTATTGTTGTTGTTATTACATTTATTTTACTCTATTTATTATTATTATTATTACATTTATTATTTTAGTCTATTATTATTGGAAAGTTACGTAAGCACATTTACAACGAAGGTTAGAATAATGGTTTGATCAGAGTTGTGCAGTCTTATCTTAAATTAGAGTTTTATGTAAATATTCAAAGACATTTAACCTACTGATGCCTCAATTAATGTAATTTTATTGGTTTCTATTTTTATTTTGAAATTGACCCGTAGCTGCTGCATTTTCCACCCTTGGCTTATATTCAAGTCAATAAGTTTTCCCAGATTTTTGTGATAAAATTAGGTGCCTCGGCTTATATTCGGGTCGGCTTATACTCGAGTATATACGGTGGTTTCTTCTCTGTGTGTTGAGTAGACAGGGTATCATCCTTAATCAATAGTCCATAGTCTTTAGGTATAGTTGTACTCACTGGTATCCATAAGTCATACTTCTCGACTAAAGTCCAAACAGCACCTGCTTTCATTGAAGACCATGGTGATCCAGGCTACAGTCATCTCAAGACTGGACTACTGTAACGCCCTCTACATTGGCCTTCCTCTGTCGGTGATCCGGAAGCTCAAGTTGGTACAAAATGCAGCTGCTCGGCTTCTTGCGGGAATTCTGATGAGATGCCACATAACACCAATCTTACTGCAGATGCATTGGTTACCAATTGAGCTCCGGATCACTTTCAAAGTGATGGTAGTCACCTTTAAGGCCTTGCATGGTCTGGGGCCAATGTATCTGAGGGACCGCCTCACCCCCTACCAACCCCAGAGATCCCTCCGTTCTGAGGACCAAGATTTATTATTATTATTATTAACTTTATTTGTACCCCGCTAGCATCTCCTGAAGGACTCGATGCGGCTCACATAGGCTGAAGCTTCAAAACACAATAAAACACATCATAACACAACAATAAAACAGGAGCAAATCAAAATAATTAAGCAATAACAACAACAGTAACAATACGTTTATTTATTTATTTATTTATTTATTGGAAATTCCCATTGTCAAGACCTTGCGTCTAACAGCAACCAGACGCAGAGCCTTTACAGCAGTGGCACCATCACTCTGGAATATTCTGCCACCCGAATTCCGTGCCTTGCGGGACCTATCAGCTTTCCGCAGGGCATGTAAGACATACCTGTTTCGACAGGCCTTTGATCTTTGATATTGTTGTTTTTAAATTATTTTAAATTGTGTTAGATTTTAGCCATTCTTGTAAGCTGCTCTGAGCCCCAGGGGAGTGGCGGCATGTAAGTTTGAATAATAAATAAATAAAATAAATATTGACATGCATCTACTTCCACTGAGGTCTGATGCAAACACTGAATACAAAATGGAGTCCTGAGTCTGAACATGCTCAGTATAATCATATGTCTATAACCCTTCCCACACCAAACTGGTCAGTCAAACTGGCAAATCAACATTCACACAGGATACAGGTTAGCAAATATTTACATTAACAAACAAATAGTGAAGGCTTGGAAGGTTGCTATTTCCAACAGAATTAAAGTTTGGTAATTTTTAACTTCCTTGTTTCTAGTCTTTGATGGGGAAGTCAAGAAGCTAGAGATCTCCAAAGGGGGGGGGGGGCTGTGTTCATAAACAAAAGGAGGATCTGCTTTTCCTGCTGGGAAGCTCTTGTTGAGGTGGCATCTCCCTCAGGATTGCAAGGGCTGAGCCTTCTTTCTCTTCTTTCTCATTCCAGTGAAGGCTGGGAGCAGAACGGTCTGTACGAGTTCTTCCGGGCCAAGATGCGCGCCCGGCGGCGAAAGGGGCAAGAGAAACGCAACAGGTGAACTCCTCTATACGCGTTGTGGCTGCAAAAGCAACAAATATATCAGATATAAAAAAGTAACAACAAGGTGGGGGAAATCTTAGGGATAGAAGTAGAGTGGAACCAAAAAAACAATTATTTGCTCCGAAAATAGAAGGTAAAGGCGGGAATAGAGAATGGGTCGAAATCGTAAAATCCATGATAGATGTCGTATACCTCAGACCTTAAATACCACACCAGCTTGGTAAAATCAGCAAGCAGTTTATTGTAGATTTTATGTAAGCAAAGCAGTAAAAAAAACAGCAAAATAGTAAAAGTACAAAATCCCAAAATGGTTTATGAGCTTTGAAGGGGAACAAGATCCATGAGTATATAGAAATCCATAAAGCAAGGCACTTGAACCCATGAAACAAAGCAGCAGGAAAATACCATAGGCAAAACGTAAGCTTGGCAAAAACTTGGTACATGAAACTCAGAGCACTTGAAAGCGAGACCATAACAAATAACAATGTTGCTTTAACTGAGGCAACTCACTCCCATGAATCATTACAACCCTTTCTAGAACCCAAAACTGAAAGGAAAGGATTGTTCTTGACTTTACCACTAGATAACGGTTTATTATCTTCTGCTATAGACGAAGTGATCATCTCAGTCTCTGAAAGCTCGGTCTCTGTTTCCTAAAACTTTGTTTTCTGTCCAAGCTTTCACTAGCCTACCCCTTATTATCTCTCTCATTAACTTCTGCACCTGGGAAATCAATCTCAGCATCATTTTCAGACAGTTGCTCTGAGAAAAGCGGTGAAAGGTCTCTCCCAGGAATGTGGCCTTGTGAATCTTCCTGAAACAGCACAGGCCTCTCTTCTGAACTGAACTCAGGCTCAAACAATCCCTCATCCCCAATCCCATCAGGAACATTCCCATCATGAACATCAGACACAATCACAGGCTGAACAGGCTGACATACAACAATAGCAGCAAAACCCCAGCCTTCTCGGTGTTGGCCCCCCAACTCTGGAACTCACTTCCCAAGGACATGCCCCAACTCTGGTAGTCTTTAGGAAGAGCCTGAAAACGTGGTTGTTCCAGTGTGCCTTCCCAGAATAAGGAAAACTCTCAGCAATATGCCCTCAAAATGCACTTTACCACTGATTTAGGACTGACTATGTTCCCTCATCTCTCTTTGAAAACCCTATACCAGTTATATCCTACCTTGTTCATGCCCAGCATTATTTTTTAAATTTTAGACTATTACATTTGGCCCGGCCATATGTTTTTAAATGCTTGTGTGTTACTGTTTATTGTTTATGTGATTTATACTAATCGTATTGTATTGATTGTTTTTGTTATTGCTTTTGTTATTGATGTACTGTGAGCTTGGCCTCATATAAGCCGCACCGAGTCCCTTGGGGAGATTTATTTATGTATTTACGACATTTATATGCCGCCCTTCTCACCCCGAAGGGGACTCATAGCGGCTTACAAGGTATATATACAATATATTATTAGCATAGTACAATATCAGTTTTAAATATTGCTATATTGTACTATACCAATTATATTGTAATATTATTAGTAATATTGCATGTAATATAAATACATAATTATAATATATTATTATTATTAGTAGTAGTAGTAGTATTATATTGCATTACATTACAATATTATAAATATTATATGTATATACAATATATAATATAATATAGATGGTAGTGGAGTATAAATTTATTTATTTATTTATTTATCAGTTTTGTATACTGGTCTTCTCACCTCCATTCGAGGGACTCGGGCCGGTTTCCAACATCAATATTACAGACAGTCATTAAAACATCATATTCTAAATCACACTAAAACATTAAAATAGCCAAATACAATCATATAATTACAGTGGTCAGTTGTCATCAAAAATCATTATTCGTTGTCATCCATCCATATCACAGGATCATGGCTCATTCGTTGAATGCCAATTCCCAAAGCCAAGTTTTCACCTGTTTCCTGAACGTTAAGATAGAAGGGGCAGTTCTGATCTCCAGTGGAAGGGAGTTCCAGAGTTGAGGGGCCACCACCGAGAAGGCCCTGTCTCTCGTCCCCACCAGCCGCGCCTGTGAGGCCGGTGGGATCGAGAGCAGGGCCCCTCCAGACGATCTTAGCAATCTTGATGGTTCATAGGGGAAGATATGTTCGGACAGGTAAATTGGGCTGGAGTCGTTTAGGGGCTTTATAGGTTAAAACCAGCACTTTGAATTGTGCTCAGAAGCTGACTGGCAGCCAGTTGAACTGGCGCAACAGAGGAGTAGTATGCTCCCTGTACCCCGCTCCCGTTAGTAGTCTGGCTGCCGCACGTTGGACTAATTGAAGCTTCTGGGCTTCATTATTATTATTATTATTATTATTATGGTCGGTAGCCTTAGGTTGGAAAGAGCACAGGAAATGGGAAGTTTTGAAAAATGGTATGAATGCTTATCAGGTCATATCAGGCATGGGAAAACTTGGTCCCTCCAAGTATTTTGGACTTCAACTCCCACAATCCCTAACAGCCACCAGGAGAATTAAATATACAGATGGATATATTAAGGAGAACTTGGAGTTGAAATAGAAAGAGGCGATAGCCAGAGTTAAAGGGAAATGCAATAAACAGAATCAGACCATCTTCATGATCAAAGAAATCAAACAATACGAAGAGCAGAGGAGGGAGGAGGGAAAGGGAAAAATGGACTGGTATAAGTTGTAGATAAGTAGAGAAAATGATATGTATAAGTAGCAGATAAATATAAAATTGTAAAGGATAGGAAAATGGGAATCATCAGAATGTTATGAGAAAATATGGGGAATATATGTATTTTTATATATGATATTATGTATTACATTATATATATTATATACGTATTATATTATAATAAATATATTACTATGTTTATTACATTATATTTGAATTATATAACCAAATAAAAATGTCATAGTAATGAGAAGGGAAGGGGCAGGTGCTTCAGGGCGAAGCAGGTAATGAATTCCTGATTGTTATTCTGATGAGGATGATGAGGGGTGTCTCTTCCCTCCGCTCCGCGCCCAGCGGCCCCTCGCAGTCCCGCAGCCGCTCGAAGAGTCGTGGCCGCTCCTCCTCGCGCTCCAACTCGAGGTCCAACTCCAAGTCTTCTGGTTCCTACTCACGTTCCCGCTCCCGGTCGGGATCCCGCTCCCGCTCCTACTCCCGCTCACAGTCTAGGTAAAGTGAAGGGCAACAAAGGGGAGGAGAGGGAGGCTGTCATGGGTTGTTTCCCCTCCACGGGCAGACCGCTCACTTTCTCACAGAGAGCCTTGCCTAATCTAAGGGGGAAAACGGGCTTCTTTTTCCAGGAGCAGAAGCCGGTCACATTCTTCTCGGAGCCGATCTCGCTCCCGCTCCCGGTCCAAATCCTACTCTCCCGGAAGGCGCCGCCGCTCCCGATCTCGCAGCCAAACGCCTCCGTAAGTGGTCACAGTGAGGAAGGAACAGAGCAGCCGCCTCTTTGGGTCCCTCCCTTTGAGGCAAACGTGGGGCGATCTGGGAAGTGCCCCTGCTATGAAAGCATGCAGGCCCTGCCTGGCTCTTGGCCCTGCACCCCAAGCCGACCCCACTTTGGGGCCCTTTGCATTGAGTCCTGCTTTACTCCTTCTCTGCAGCTCTGCAGCCGGACTGGGCTCCAGCTCAGGGAATACTGTTCCAGAATCCAGGTTGGGAGAGGAGAACAAAGGACACCAGATGCTGGTGAAGATGGGTAAGTGGCCTTGGCAGGTGTTTGCTCTTGTCATTCAATAATTTTAAAGCATAGGTTCTTTTTATTGCAATTGCCAGTGTGAGAGAGCAGATCAGAACTTTTACACTTACACAAAGAACGTTTGACATATAGACATACAGAGTCTATGTAACTACATTGGATTCACAAACACCTTACAGTTGTATTGGCTACTTACTTACTTAGGCGATCTCTCGTTGGCCGAGTAGGATAGTATTCCAAGATCAGTGTACTGGCGGTGGATCCGTAGATGACTGTGGAGCCCTATTCTTGATCTGCGTTTTCTCCCTCAGTAAGGGCATTGGTTTCCAGGTGGAAGGCGGTCTCGGTCGGGGTTGGCTTGATGCGCCTTCCTCTTGGCACATTTCTCTCTTTCACCCTCCATTCATGCCTCTTCAAATTCTGCAGCACTGCTGGTCACAGCTGACCTCCAGCTGGAGCCCTCAAGGGCCAGGGCTTCCCAGTTCTCAGTGTCTATGCCAGAGTTTTTAAGGTTGGCTTTGAGCCCATCTTTCAATCTCTTCTCCTGCCCACCAACATTCCGTTTTCCGTTCTTGAGTTCAGTGTAGAGCAATTGCTTTGGGAGACGGTGGTCGGGCATCCGGACAACGTGGCCGGTCCAGCAGAGATGATGGCGGAGGACCATCGCTTCAATGCTGGTGGTCTTTGCTTCTTCCAGTATGCTGACGTTTGCCTGCCTGTCTTCCCAAGAGATTTGCAGGATTTTCTGAATGCAGCGCTGATGGAATCGTTCCAGGAGTTGTATGTGATGTCTGTAGATAGTCCACGTCTTGCAGGCGTATAGCAGGGTTGGGAGGACAATAGCTTTATAAACAAGCACCTTGGTATCCCTACGGATGTCCCGGTCCTCAAACACTCTCTGCTTCATTTGGAAGAATGCTGCACTCGCAGAGCTCAGGTGGTGTTGTATTTCGGTGTCGATGTTGGCTTTGGATATTTTTTATTACAAAACTGTGAGTCAAGCACTGAAGGAGTGAGTAGGCCGAAGCCTTTTAGAGTCAGTGGGCCAAAGCTAGTGTCGTCCTAAGGAGAGTGAGTTAACCAAAGCCTGTTAGTTTGCCTCAGTGAGGGAACTCCTCAGTCTGTATGAGCAGGCTTCTCTGTGAGGTAGGCCTCACAGTATGAGGAAGGCCTCTTACGAGAAGGCCTGGTATGAGAGGAGCCTCATGTGAGAAAGCTGCTGCCTGTCAAGCTACTATGTAATTGTTTATTTGTGTTATGGAAGCCTTGTTCTTTTAAATAGTGCAACCATATTATTTTACGACAAAGAAAAGCCTCCTAAGGAAGACATAACATTGTCTGTACATTTTTGTTCTTTTTATCACTTTGGACTGCTGGTACTGGGTCACACTGTTGCTGATAAGTTACTCTGCTATACATTTATGGGGAGGGTCTTTTGTTAATAAGCCTACTCACCCAACAAGGGTTATGGGCCCAGTATAGCCCAGTAAGGTTCTCTCAGAGGTAGCCAGGATAAGAATCATAGAATCCTAGAGTTGGGAGAGACCCCCAAGGGCCAACTAGTCCAACCCCCTTCTGCCGTCATGCAGGAAAAGCACCATCAAAGCCCCTCTGACAGATGGCCATCTGGTCTCAATTAATATAAATAACAGGAAGAATAGAATTGGAAGAGATCACTGTACTCCTGACAGATAGCCATCCCGCCTCTGTTTGGCCAACTTCTTGCATTAAGACACAGGCTGAAACTTGCCCTGTATCTATGTGCAGTGTCCTTCCTCTTGTTTGTACGCATCTTGCATTGCACATCGTCCTGTGTTTCATTAGTTGTATCAGTTTCACTTAATTTTATGCTTACCTACAAAGCCCTAAACAGTTGGGGACCCATCTACCTGCGTGACCGCATTTCTGTAATCGAACCCACACGATCTCTTCGTTCATCTGGAGAGGCCCTGCTCACGATCCCCCCTGCATCGCAAGCGCGATTGGTGGGAACGAGGGACAGGGCCTTCTCGGTGGTGGCCCCACGACTCTGGAACTCCCTTCCCAAGGACATCAGGCAGGCCCCAACGTTGACAGTCTTTAGAAGGAGCTTGAAAATGTGATTGTTCCAGTGTGTCTTCCCAGAATGAGGAATCCCAAGAAATATGTCCCAAATAAACTTTACGAAAGATGTAGAATTGTCTGCACGCCCACCTATCCCTAAAATATCCATCCTATTTCTCTTGGATATACCCAGCATTTTAAAAATATTTTAACCATTACATTTGGCCCTGCCACAGGTTTTTAAATGCGTCGTGATATTATTGTTATTGTTTTGCTTTGTTATGAGTTATTTATTGTTGTATTGTTGTTGTTGTCTTTCATTGATGTATTTGGGCTCAGCCTCTTGTAAGCCGCACCGAGTCCTGCGGGATATTTATTTTTTTTTGTCGTGTCAGGAGCGACTTGAGAAACTGCAAGTCGCTTCTGGTGTGAGAGAATTGGCCGTCTGCAAGGACGTTGCCCAGAGGACGCCTGGATGATTTTGATGTTTTTATCATCCTTGTGGGAGGCTTCTCTCATGTCCCCGCATGAGGAGCTGGAGCTGATAGAGGGAGCTCATCCACCTCTCCCCGGATTCGAACCTGCGACCTGTCAGTCTTCAGTCCTGCCGGCACAGGGGTTTAACCCACTGCGCCACCGGGGGCTCCTGCGGGAGATGGTAGCGGGGTATAAATAAAGGTTTATTATTATTATTATTATTATTATTATTTGTTTTTATTTATTTATTTAAATTTAATTTGTTCTATCAGTTTTATTTATTTTTATTCATTTATTATTTTTATTCATTTATTCCTTATTTATTTAATGCAATGAGTTCTCTCCTGTTTCTGCCCTTTGTCTCCAGGTTGGAGTGGCTCTGGAGGCCTGGGGGCCAAAGAGCAAGGCATCCAGGACCCCATCAAAGGAGGAGACATCCGGGACAAGTGGGACCAGTACAAGGGAGTGGGGGTAGCCCTGGACGACCCCTACGAGAACTACCGAAGGAACAAGAGCTACTCCTTCATCGCTCGCATGAAGGCCCGGGATGAGAGTGAGTAGCCCTTGAGCTGGCAGCCCAGCCTTTCTTTTGTGTGCGTGTGTATGTAGGGGACGGGCAGGCGAATGACAGCTTTCCTAGTGCCATGAGCTCTAGGCAGGATAATAGAGTAACTTCTAGAACAGGGGTCCTCAAACTTTTTAAACAGAGGACCAGGTCACAGTCTCTCAAACTGTTGGAGGGCCGGATTATAATTTGAAAAAAGCATGAATTAATTCCTATGCACACTGCACATATCTTATTTGTAGTGCAAAAAACACATAAAAACAATAGAATAATTAAAAAGAACAATTTTAACAAATATACCGTATATACTCGAGTATAAGCCGACCCGAATATAAGTCGAGGCACCTAATTTTACCACAAAAAAACTGGGAAAATGTATTGACTCGAGTATAAGCCGAGGGTGAGAAATGCAGATGCTACTGGTAAATTTCAAAATAAAAATAGATACCAATAAAATTACATTAATTTAGGCATCAATAGGTTAAATATATTTGAATATTTACATAAAACTGTAATTTAAGATAAGACTGTCCAACTCTGATTAAACCATTATTCTAACCTTCGTCAATGTAAATACGCTAACATATCCTTCCAATAATAACACTAATAACAATAGTGTAAAATAATAAATGTAATAATAATACAGTAAAATAAATGTAACAGTAACAATAATAAATAGAGTAAAGTAATAAATGTAGAAATAACAACAATAATAAAATAATAAATGAAATAATAACAAAGTAAAATAATAAATAACCTTGACTCGAGTATAAGCCGGGGGAGACCTTTTCAGCCAAAAAAAAGGACTGAAAAACTAGGCTTATACTCGAGTATATACAGTAAACTTATCAGTATTTCAGTGGGAAGTATGGGCCTGATTTTGGCTGATGATATAGGATTGTTGTTGTTTGCTTTCAAATCGTTCCAGACTTAGGTTGACCCTGAGTGAGGGCTGGGTAAATGACCTTGAAGAGCCGTATCTGGCCCTCGGGTCTTAGTTTAAGGACCTCTGCTCTACTGTAATAGTAATCATAGGAATGACACTGTTGACTCTTCTCTCCTGAAGGCTGATGCTGCTGCTGGAAGACAAAGGGAGCCCTGCCTGGCCTGAGCAAAGGAGCCAAGATGCAACACGGCCCTCTCCCCGTACGCCCCTTTTCTTGAGGGCTTCCCTCTTTGTGTAGAGACCATCGTGATGAGAGGTTAACCTTCCCATCTTGCCTGCTTCCAGGTCGGCATTCTCCTGTAACCCCAGTAACCCCTCCCCCCAAAGTATATTTGTTGATCTGGTTTTTAGACGGGTTGAACTGTAGGTGAGAAACCCTCCTCGCCTTTCCCACACAACTCTGCCTCTCCTCCCACCGTCTGTAACTAAATTGTGACATATGTTGCCTTTCAATAAAAGAGAGTTTCTCCTACGTCGAGAGCTGTTTTAATTGTGTTTGTGTCGGGGGTGCACAATTCCACCGTTCCAATCTCCGCGGAGGGTTTGCTATCACCGTTCCTTGCCGTCGCAGTCCCCTCTGGGAGAAGCAGCTTCTCTTCTGCAGCTCGCCTTCCTTCCTTGCTTGTGGCCCCGGTTAAAATCAATCTGAAGGCGCCTCCACCACCTCCTGCTCCTCTCCTTCTAGTAAGGCTGGCTCCGCAGTCAGAGGCCGGGCCTTGTGGCTTTGGATGTACTGCAAAGAACAAAAGGTAGGCTAGACCCAAGCGAGCTGGTGGCGCACGGCCTTGAAATGGCTTGAGGTCGAACCCTGGCCCACGCATGTGCCCCTTGTGTTCCCTTTCTCCTTTTGCCCCAACAGCCTGGCTTCTTCCTTGAGCAGGGCTTTTCAAACTTTTTCAGCCGCAGAGCCCTTTTTGAAGCAAAAGTTTCCCACGGAGCCCCAAGTTATTTATTTATTTATTTAAAACTAGCTGTACCCGCCACGTGTTGTTGTGGCCAACCTTCCCTCCCTCTTTCTCTCCTTCCCTCTTTCCTTCCATTCCTATTTCTCTTCTTTCTTCCTCTCTACCTTTCTTTCCTCCTTTCTTTGCTCTTTTTTCCTTCCCTTCTCTCCTTCCTTCCTTCCTTCCTTCCTCTCTTTTTCCTTCCTTCCTTTCTCCTTCCTTCTTCTCTCCTTCTTCTTTCCTTCCTTTCTTCTTCCCTCCTTCTCTCCTTCCTTCCCTTCCTCCCTTCCTTCCCCCTTTCCCTCCTTCATTCCTTCCCCCTTTCCCTCCTTCTCTCGTTACTTCTTGACTGTCCCATTTAATATTGTATTTACATCTTGCATAGAAGGAAAGGAAGAAGGAAGGAAGGAGGGATAGGAAGGAAGGAAAAAGAAAGGGAGGGAGGGAAACAAGGAAAGGAAAAGAAAGAAGGAGGGGAAGGAAGGAAGGGGGGAAGGAGAATGAAGGAAGGAAGGAGGGGGATGAAGAAAGGAGGGAGGGAAGGAAATGAAGGGGAATGAAATAAAGGGAAAGAAGGAGGAAAGGGAGGGAGGAAGGAAAGGGAGGAAGGAAGGAGAGGGAGGAAAAAAGGGAAGGGAGGGAGAGAAGGAAGGTCCTTCACTCAAGCACTGTTGACCTTCCTCTCCTCCTCCTCCTCCTCCTCCTCCCCTCCCCCCCTTATTCGTTGCCTGGGGGCTCCGCTGCTGTCAACATCCGCCCCTTCCTCTTCCAACAGGGAAAGAAGGAGGAGGAGGAGGAGACTGCCCTCCTGACATAGCAGGGAAAGAGAAGGGGCTCCATGCGGCAAGCTCCACCTCCACTCCCATGGTGCCCACTCTCGCTTGTGTGTATGTGTGTGTGTGTGTGTGTGTGTGTGTGTGTGTGTGCCGTGCACGTGTGCCTGACTTTAACGGCGGGCTGTTTCCCCGCGAGGAGGAGGAGGAGGGCGTGGCCATGGGTCTTTGTGGACATGCAGTTTCTCCTTTTTGGACATGCAGTGTAGAAGTCCTTTCTGCTTTTTGTTTTCATTGGGTTTTTTAATTGAAGGACATACATTGGGTTGATATGTGTATTGTGTCCAAATTTGGTGTCAATTCCACCAGTGGTTTTTGAGTTCTGTTAACTCCACAAACGAACATTACATTTTTATTTATATAGACTTTTTTATCCCGATCTTCTCACCTTCGTAGAAGGACTCAGACCGGCTTACAGCAAGGATTCAATGCTATTAATGCAAGTTAAGACATCATACAATCATACAAGATTAAAATACATATAGATAAAATACATATATACCAAATTGCCAAGGTAAAATCATGTTCAACTCAGTCCGCATATGTGGTCACTCACTTTGGTCTGTAACCAGTCTCGGCCATTATTCTGGGAATGCTTCGTTCCATAACCAGGATTTCACTAGCCTCCTGAAGGACAAGAGGGAGGGGCAGATCTAATCTCACTTGGGAGAGAGTTCCATAGCCGAGGGGCCCCCAAAGAGAAGGCCCTGTCTCTCGTTCCCACCAAACGCTCTTGCGAAGGTGGTGGGACCGAGAGCAGGGCCTCTCTGGAAGATCTTAACATCCTTGATGGTTCGTAGGGGAGAATACGTTCGGACAGATAAACTGTTTATATATTATATTGCAGTGGTTCTCAACCTTCCTAATGCCAAGACCCCTTAATACACTTCCTCATGTTGTGGTGACCCCCAACCATAAAATTATTTTCGTAGCCACTTCATAACTGTAATTTTGCTACTGTTATGAATCATAATGTTAATTTCTGATATGCAGGATGTATTTTCATTCATTGGACCAAATTTGGCACAAATCCCCGATACATCCAAATTTGAATACTGGTGGGGTTGAGGGGAATTGATTTTGTCATTTGGGAGTTGTAGTTGCTGGAATTTATAGTTCACCTACAATCAAAGATAATTCTAAACTCCACCAACAATGGAATTGAACCAACCTTGGAACACAGAATTCCCATGACTAACAGAAAATACTGGAAGGGTTTGGTGGGCATTGACCTTGAGTTTTGGAGTTGTAGTTTACCTACATCCAGAGAGCACTGGACTCAAACAATGATGGATCTGGACCAAACTTGGCACAAATGCTCAATGTGCCCAAATGTGAACACTGGTGGAGTTTGGGGAAACTAGACCTTGACATTTGGGAGTTGTAGTTGCTGGGATGTATAGTTCACCTACAATCAAAGAGCATTCTGAACCCCACCAACAACAGAATTGGGCCAAACTTCCCACACAGGACCCCCATGATCAACAGTAGCATTTGAACAGGCAAATGTTTTTATGTATTCACATACCTACTATTACAGAGATGTCACACCTATGATAGGTAAAAACATGCATGGCATCAAAAACAGTGGCATCTGCTGGACGTCCAAGCAACACATCACGAAGCGACCTCGTCAGGGCCAGAGCCACTATAGGGATCCACGGCCTGGTCACCCTTGGTGAGTGAGCCTGCCTGCCTCCCTCCAGAGCAGAACCAGGAGAAGAAGAGCAGGAAAAGATCGGCGGGGCAGGGAGGGAAATCCAGGCTGGAGAGGGAGGCAGGCAGGCAAGGAGGAAGGGCCAGCCCAAGTCCTGGCTCCCATAGCCTCACGCCCTGCCCAGCCTTGCCCGGCACCACCTCATGCCCGCGCCCCCAGGAAAACCGAAGGCTCAGAAGGAATTAAGAATTTGAATGGAAGTATGGGAGGGAGAGGAGGGAAGGAAAGGGTTTCCCTAAAACACAGTGATCATTATTATATTAACCAGTATTATTGTTATTATTATCATTATTATATACACCAGTATTATTAGGTAATGATAAAGGTTTTCCCCTGACATTAAGTCTAGTTGGATCCGGCTCTGGAGGTTGGGTTGAATTTCTAAGCCAAAGAGCCGACGTTGTCTGTAGACACCTCCAAGGTCATGTGGCTGGCATGACTGCATGGAGCGCCCTTACCTTCCCTCTGGAGTGATACATATTTGATCTACTCACATTTGCATGTTTTCGAACCCCTACATGGCCTCACCCACTTACCATCTTGGCTTCTTCCAGCGTGTGGTAGTGGTAGCGCTCTTCCTCCAGGGAAGCCACCAGGGACGCGTGGAGACGACGGCTGGTCTCCGAATAATGCCGGATGAACAGCAGGTTCTCCTTCAGCATCTCATTCAAGGCAAAGGCCGCTGGACTATGACCTGCCAGGCCTGGAGGAGAAGGAAGAAGGAGGCCAGAGGGAGTGTTGAGGCCCAAGGCCCAAAGATCTCTCGTCTCTATGGTTTCCCAGTCAGAAACTAGGCACAAGTAGACTTGAAATACTGAATCTGCAGAAAACACCGAGGCAGTGTTTCTCAACCTTCCTAATGCCGTAACCCTTGAATACAGTTCCTCATGTGGTGGTGACACCCAACCATAACATAATTTTTGTTACTACTTCACAACTGCAATTTTGCTACTGTTATGAATCATATTGTAAATATCTGATATGCAGGATGTGTTTTTATTTACTGGACCAAATTTGGCACAAACAAATTAGGATTTGGTGGGCACTGTCCTTGGGTTTTAGAGTTGTAGTTCACCGAATCATCAAATCATAGGGTTGGAAGAGACTTCATAGGCCATCCAGTCCAACCCCCTGCCAAAAAGCAGGAAAACTGTATTCAAAGCACCCCCGACAGATGGCCATCCAGCCTCTGTTTAAACTCTTCCAAAAAGGAGCCTCCACCACAGTCTGGGGCAGAGAGTTCCACTACTGAACAGCTCTCACAGTCAGCAAGTTCTTCCTGATGTTCAGATGGAAGCTCCTTTTTTGTAGTTTGAAGCCATTGTTCCCTAGTCTCCAGGGAAGGAGAAAACAAGCTTGCTCCCTCCTCCCTATGACTTCCTCTCACGTATTTATACATGGCTATCATATCTCCTCTCAGCCTTCTCTTCTTCAGGCTAAACATGCCCAGCTCTTTAAGCCGCTCCTCATAGGGCTTGTTCTCCAGACCCCTGAACATTTTAGTTGCCCTCCTCTGGACACATTGGGGAGAGGCGGGTGTGCTCCCTCTATCAGCTCCAGCTCCTCATGCAGGGACATGAGAGAAGCCTCCCACAAGGATGATAAAAACATCAAATTATCCAGGCGTCCTTGCAGACGGCCAATTCTCTCACACCAGAAACAACTTGCAGTTTCTCAAGTCGCTCCTGACACGACAATAAATAAATAAATATATCTCTCTTGAATTGTGGTGCCCAAAACTGGACACAATATTCCAAGGCAGAATAGAGGGGTAGCATGACTTCCTTGGATCTAGACACTGCCTCTAGAGAGCACTGTGGACTCGAACAATGATGGATCTGGACTAAACTTGGCACGAATACTCAATAGGCCCAAATGTGAATACTGGTGGAGTTTGGGGGAAACAGACCTTGACATTTGGGAGTTGCAGTTGCTGGGATTTATAGTTCACCTACAATCAAAGAGCATTCTGAACCCCACCAATGACAGAATTGGGCCAAACTTCCCACACAGAACTCCCATGACCAACAGAAAGTACTGTTTTCTGATGGTCTTTGGCGACCCCCTTGTGACCCCCCCCCCAGTGGTCCCGACCCCTAGATTGAGAAACAATGCACCATGGGTTTTATAGTTTACCAGCGTCATTAAGGCAGGTATCATGGGCGAACTCTGATTCTTCTCCAATTGTCGGAATCGAAGTCTAAAACGCCTGGAGGAAGGCCGAAGCTTGCCCAGGCCTACATTACGGTGAATATGCACACGCACACATACGCACCCAACCCAAACCCTGCTCTTGCCTTCAATTCACATCTCTGTATCTCTTGTTAGAATCCTAGAGTTGGAAGAGACCCCCATGGGCCATCTAGTCCAACCCCACTCTGCCATGCAAGAAAAGCACAATCAAAGTATCCCTGACAGATGGCCATTGAGCCTCCGTTTCAAAGTTTCCAAGGAAAGAGCTTCCACCACACTAAAGATTGTTCTTTTTTTTGAAAAGCCACCTTCCTTTGCCATTTCCCCTCCTCCCATCTGTCAGCTCATCCTAATGCCTCTTCTTACCCCTTCTCTTCTCCTGATGCTTGGCAATGCTAATCTCTTTCCAAATCCCTTTGCTCTCTTCTCACTCTCCCCTCCCCCCTCTTTAACCCATTCTTAAAACATCTTTTCAAATTCCCTTTTGCAGACCTTAGCCCAAGCATGGGCAAACTTGGGCCCTCCAGGTGTTTTGGACTCCAACTCCCATCATTCCTAACAGCCTGCTTAAGTGGCTGAAGGGGAAAAGGAAAAGGCCTGAAGCTGTTAGGAATGGTGGGAGTTGCAGTCCAAAATACCTGGAGGGAGGACCCAAGTTGGCCCATAATCCAAGTTAGCCCCTAATCCTCCCGTGACTGCAGAGCAGAGAGCAAAGAGAAGGAGTCAAGAGAGGGAGAGTGCTCACCTTCGATGGCGTCCAGGCTCAGGGCAGGGCTGCCAATGGGAGCGGCGCCCATATTGCTTCCTCCACCTAACGCCAGGCCGATGAGAGGGATATCCGCTGCAGGAAAGACAAATGCGCAGGTGTGAATTATGGTGGGTGAAGCGTGAGCCCCACACCACCCACAAACTCCGGAGCATCTTCTTCGTTCAGGCCCCGGCTATCTTCACGATCGCATTTCCTTTTATGAACCGGCTGGGGAATCATAGAATCAAAGAGTTGGAAGAGACCTCATGGGCCATCCAGTCCAACCCCCTGCCAAGAAGGAATATTGCATTCAAATCACCCCTGACAGATGGTCATCCAGCCTATGTTTAAAAGCTTCCAAAGAAGGAGCCTCCACCACACTCCGGGGCAGAGAGTTCCACTGCTGAACAGCCCTCCTTTCGCTTCCACCACCGTCACAAGTACAGTTGTTGGGGACAAGAGAGAGGGCCTTCTCAGTAGTGGCCCCCTGCCTCTGGAAAACCCTTCCAAGGGAAATAAGACAAGTCCCATCCCTTCCCTCCTTTCGTAAGAGCTTGAAGACCTGGTGGTTTCAACAAGCCTTTGAGAATGACCAGTTCTAGCCCAGCCCCAAACATTGTTGAATATGGCCACCCCCGTTATGTCAGCTCCACTGGCTGCCGATCCAGTTCTGAGCACAATTCAAAGTGCTGGTCTTGACCTACAATTTTTTTTTTTTAATAACTGAAAAAAAACCAGTTGAATTTAAAGTCGATATAAGTGATTTGAAGGTTGGTGCATATTTATAGTTTATGTCTACTGAATGTTTGCCATATACACTGTGTGCTCCACCCTGAGTCCCCTGCAAGGTGAGAAGGGCAGAATAGAAATGTTCCAAAATAAATAAATAAATAATAGACACCAAGAACTGGAAAGCCCTGGCCTTAAGCGCTCTAACCAGAGGTCAGCTGTGACCAGCAGTGCTGCAGAATTCCAAGAGGCACGAATGGAGGGCAAGAAGGAGAAACGTGCCAAGAGGAAGGCCCGTCAAGCCAACCCTGACTGGGACCACATTCCACCTGGAAACAGACGGCCTCACTATGGGAGAACATGCGGATCAAGAATAGGGATCCACAGCCACCTACGGACCCACCGCCAAGACACTACACTTGGAAGGTCATCATATTCAGGCTATGAGGGATCTAAGAGTGTGAACTAAGAGTAATACGAATAATATATGAATATATTCCGTATTCTATTCTAAAACTCAAAAGATTGAAGATGGGTTAATACTTTTAAATCATAATCAAAATGATGGAAGGCGTCCCGACGAACAGGGCAGGCAGCCAGGTGAGAACAAGGAAAAACAAAAAATTGTGCACAAATTTCACAGATCACCACTAAAAGAAACACAGTCACAGGAAGCAACTGGCTCTTCCCCTTTCTCTGGCTTGGCTTGACTGACCCTGCATCCATTGGGAAAGCGGTGGGAGGCTGTTGGTCTGCACTGCCGCATCCATCATTTTCGTCGTCCTCTGCTTATGGGTACTGGGAAGCTGCCAGAGGGAAGAGGAACATGATTGGCTGGAACGAGACGGGGAAGCTTTTGAACGCGACTCTTCCGACGTGGCTCCTTCCTCAGATGATGACTGCGAGGTCGTAGAGGAGGAAGAGGGCGGTTCAAAGTCATCCAAATACTCAGCCTCCCCAGGAGATCCGGAAGAGGAGGGCGGCGCTTCGGAAGGGCTGCCCAGTCGTTCTGAGATCTCAGTCTCTCCCGCCTCCTCCGCCCCCTCTTCTTCCTCGGAGGGTAGATCTCTTCCGCCGACATCTTTCGAGGCACTGAAGATGCTTCGGGTGGCGGCCAAAGGAGCAGTCAAGGATGCTGCGTCCGGTTTCTTCCAGGGTTCCCCAGCCACCGGGTGGGCCTAGAGGAAGCATTAGATTGAATGTTATTGTTACGGTCACAAATCAGAAGTGTAAAAGTCCATAATACAGACTCAGATCTACATGGCTTCGACGCTTCTAACGTTATGACCAGAAATACACAACATTAAAAACAGGAAGTCCATAATACGGACTCAGATCTACATGGCTTCGACGCTTCTAATATTATGACCAGAAATACACAACATTAAAAACAGGAAGTCCATAATACGGACTCAGATCTACATGGCTTCAACGCTTCTAATATTATGACCAGAAATACACATTAAAAATCGTAAGTCCATAATACGGACTCAGATCTACATCTCTTCAACGCTTCTAATATTATGACCAGAAATACACAACATTAAAAACAGGAAGTCCATAATATGGACTCAGATCTACATGGCTTTGACACTTCTATCATTATGACCAGAAATACACAACATTAAAAACAGGAAGTCCATAATACGGAGTTGGATCTACACAGCTTCCTATATATATGACACTTAGAACATTAAGACCCGAAAGTGGGCCGGGCTTTAGCATAGCAGACTAGCCACCAGTAGGAGTAAATCTCGTCAATCAGAAGGTTGACAGTTCAAAGCCCAGGTCAGGGTGACTGCCTGGCCTTTCAGCCCAGCTTCTGCCCACCTACCAGATTAAAAACAAATATGAGTATGAGATAAATAGGTACAAATGTGGGTACGAGATAGAAAAATAGGTAGAGTTTTAAGAAGTGGTGAGATATTCGGGCACCCATGAGGAAATGCCAGAAAAATGCTGGCGATTCAATGAAAAGAGGAAGTTTACAAACAAAGCTCTTTGGCAGAGAAGATGGAATGACAGCACCCCCGGTGGCCAGAACCCAGCACAGCCTCCAAGATGCCGAAGATGGGAAAAACCTATTTATAACTCTTTCTGTGTAGAGTTGTCTGTCTTGTCCTTGCATAATTGGCACTGAATGTTTGGCGTATATGTGTTTCTGTAATCCCCCCTGAGGGCGGAACAGAAATAAAATAATTAATAAATTCATAACATTGAAAGCAGGAACGTCCATAACATGGGAGTCAGATCTACACGGCTTCCTCTATGATGCTTATACAATCTGTGGGTAGGGATCATAGAATGAGTAAGTTAAAACTTTATTAGCCACTAAAATCACCCACAAACTGCTTCTTTGTTTTTTTTTATAGCTGCCGCACAAAACTCAGCTACTCTAAGTGATTGATGGGTCCCTATATCTTTTATCACATGCCTTTGATAGTTTTTTGGACCATGTAAGGAATCAATGAGTGTGTGTGTGTCAACTGTAAAATAAGATGCATGAAGCTGATTGGTCGGGCTATGCCCAGGGAGCAGGCTGAGCCTGGGACTTTTGGATACTGTACATTTTTGTTCAGGCTTCACTTATGCAAGTGCTTGGAGGAGAAGCAGAGAGAGACAGAGTTTCGAGTGTGCTCTCCCTTCATGAGCTGCTAAAGGAGTTTATCTACATGGATAAATCTCTCATAAAAGGACACTATTTGAGTGGATGTAACCGGTCACATTGTACATATGTTATTCTAAACTATTAAGTTTATTCTAAACTATTAAATAAACTACTTGTTCTTTATTGTTCATTTGCATGGCATATTTTCTTTCTCTGGGCTGACCAAACATGAACGACATGTGGTTTATTTTACATTACGCCACATAGCTTTCCTCATTTCTGTCAGGGAATATTCTTCTGCATGGGAGTAATAAAAACAGACCGAATGTCTCTATAGAAGTGGTATTGTCAAAGGACAGGCCTGGCAGTTTCCCCTCGCGCCATCCCGCATGGACTCATGGGAAGGGATACATGTAATGTGTTGGAAGTCAACCTCATGCTTCTCAAGTCTGCAGTCCTCAATAGGGAACAATTAGCATTAGGCTAGGCTGAGGGAATCCTACCCTCCCCATCCGACTCCTGAATGTATCCCTTTGTTCTCTGTCTTTCTCCTCCTATTTTCTAATGGAAATCTCATAATAATAATAGTAATAATAATAATAATAATAATAATAATAATAATAATAATAATATAAAAATGAGGATTTAAAGATCAAACTGCAAAGACTCTGGCACAAGCCAGTAAAGGTGATCGGCACACTGAGTACAGTGCCTAAAGACCTTGGTCTGCACTTGAACACAATCAGCACTGACAAAATTACCATCTATCAGCTGCAGAAGGCCACCTTACTGGGATCTGCATGCATTATTCGCCGATACATCACACAATCCTAGACACTTGGGAAGTGTCTGACGTGTGATCCAATACAACAGCCAGCAGAGTGTCTGCTGTGGACTCACCTTGTTGTGTTTCAAATAATAATAATAACAACAACAATATACTATATCCTGCCCAAGTGTACTTAGAACAGCTTACAATAGAAAAAAACAATATAAAAACAAAGGCACCCCCCCCCCCCCAGCACCACCTTCTGGGTCCGTCCCTCGAGGATGGCGTGGAGCCACTGCAAAGCAGCACCCCAAGTCCCATTCCAGAGAGCCAGCCCAGAAGACCATGATCAATGGTATCGCAAGATCCAGGAAAACCAACAGGGACACACTTTGGCTACTGTTATGAATTGTCATGTATCTGATATGCAGGATGTATTTTTATTCACTGGACCAAATTTGGCACAAATACCCGATACACCCAAATTTGAATACTGGTGGGGTTGGGGGGATTGATTTTGTTATTTGGGAGTTGTAGTTGTTGGGATTTATAGTTCACCTACAATCAAAGAGCATTCTGAACCCCACGAATGATGGAATTGAAATATAGGTTGCTTACCTGTAAACATAGTTTCCAGGACTCGCATGACCAGCAGAAAATACTGGAAGGGTTTGATGGGCACTGACCTTGAGTTTTAGAGTTGTAGTTCACCTACATCCAAAGAGCACGGTGGACTCAAACAATGATGGATCTGGACCAAACTTGGCACTCAATATGCCCAAATGTGAACACTGGTGGAGTTTGGGAGTTGTAGTTGCTGGGATTTATAGTTCAACTACAATCAAAGAGCATTCTGACCCCCACCAACGACAGAGTTAGGCCAAACTTCCCACACAGAATCCCCATGCCCAAGGGACTCACTGGTGCAAACCTCCCTCCAGCCTCTCATGCTCTTCCTCACCAGCACATGCGCACCACACTGCCGTGTGTTGAGCATGCCTGCTCTCCCCTCCTCACTTGGAGTCTCAGAAACAGCCCTCCCCTTGCTAAGAGCCAGCTGAGAGGCTGACCAAGCACAGCGGAGGAGGGCTTTTGGTGGGAGGATTGGCGTTCTGTTTCCAAAAAGGAAGAGAAGGACAGGCTGAGAGATCTTCAGCCTTCTCTGCCAAAGGGGTTCCCAAGACCATCAGAAATATATGTATCTGATAGTCTTTTGTGACCCCCCCTGCAACCCCCTCGCACCCCCCAGGGGTCCTGACCACCAGGTTGAGAAAAGCTGATCTAGATAATCAATAATAATAATAATGATAAACTTTATTTATTACCCCGCCACCATCTCCCCAATGGGGACTCGGAGCGGGTTACATGAGGCCAAGCCCAAATGACAATTACAATAAGGAAAAACCAAAAACGCGAACGATCAACAATAACATCATTATTACATAAAACATATAAATACATAACAATATAATAAAAAAAACATGCACAGGCACAATATTAATTACTACATGTAGTAATTAAAAGGACAAACAGATTAAAACTAATTAAAAACTCGGGCGAGATAAAAGAGGGAAGCAGGTAATTTACGGAGGAGGGCTCATTTTAGTGGGAGTTGTGAAAAGTCAAGCTTTCCCATGAGGGGGGACGTATACTCTAATGACAGAACTTTGAGGTAGAGCAATCATGTGGGATTATATACCTACTCATCAAAGGTGCAGCGGAAGAGCCGGGTTTTAAGGTTCTTTTTGAAGATTTCTAGGGTTTCCTAATTTCTCCCGGCAGTGAGTTCCAGAGTCGGGGAGACACAGCGGAAATGGCTCCCTCCCTTGTACTCACTAGGCGAGCTTGAGAGACTGGCAGGGGTGAGAGAAGGGCCTCCCCGGAAGATCGGAGGGCCCGAGATGGTTCATGGTGGGAGATACAGTCACAAAGGTAGGCAGGTCCCAAACCGTTTAGGGCTTTGTAAGTGATAACCTGCACCTTGAATTGGGACCGGAAAATAAACGGCAGCCAGTGGAGCTCCTTAAACAGGGGGGTTGACCACTCCCTGTAGGTTGCCCCAGTTATTAATCTGGCTGCCGAATGTTGGACAAGTTGTAGTTTCCGGGCCGTCTTCAAGGGTAGCCTCACGTAGAGAGCATTACAGTAATCCAGTCTAGAGATAACTAAGGCATGGACCACCATGGACCACCAGTTTCATCCAAGACTCCCTGGAGTTGAGTTGGTCTCACTTCCGCTTTTTCCACCTTTGCGTGCAGACCTATCTCTTTGTGTTTGAAGAAATCTCATGTCTGGAGATTTTTTCCTCTTGTTTAAGCCTTAGAAATAATGGCATTAGAGAGGAGCTTAGACCCAATTCTTTAAATGAATCTTTTGAAACTTGAAAGTTTGAACTCTGCACCTTTGCCTCTGAAGCTCAAGAATTCTTTTGCAGCCACAACACTTCACCTTCTGCTTGCTATGACCTCACTGCTCAGTTAAGTATCCTGTTTGTATTTTGGGATGCTCTGCTATTTTGGGAGATTTCCCAAACACAATGCAGAAGATATCCATTTCTCTCTATCCTTGGGCATGGCATTGATAATAATTTGCACACTCTGCAGATTGAGTTGGTGACAACTATGTTTGTGACATCTTCTGATGGGCTTGTTTGAACAGGCCTGAAGGGCAAGGAGCTGGACAATGGTTACTATTACCTGCTCTTCTCGAGACTCTTCCTCCTCCTCCTCGATGCCTCCTGCAGGTGCCAAGTCATCCAGGCTCAAGACATTCACCCGGAAATCTGCAGCAGGAAAAGGAGAAAATGCTCCACTCAGCGCAGGCATCTCATCTCCACTTCAGGGGAGGGCAAACCGTTCAGCTTTGCTGCTCTTTTATAGCTTGTAGCTTGGCTCTTTCCGTACATTGGCGTCACCTCCAGTCTTTTCACAAGACCACAAAGGGGGTTCCAGGTAGAGGTTGTGGGTTGCTCCCACACACCTGCAACACTAGCCAGGCCACCAGGGTCAATATTTTATTAATATTTTATGCAAATATTTTTATGAATATTTCTGCAAATATTTTTATGAATATTTGCACATATTTTATGAATACTTCTGCAAATATTTTATGGAATATTTCTGAGAATAGAGAAATATTTTTTACAATTTCTGCAAATATTTTAACAAATATTTCTGTAAATATTTTTACTAATATTTGCAAATATTTTATGAATATTTCTGCAAATATTTTACGGAATATTTCTGATAATATTTATATATTCCGTTAAATATTTGCACTTGTATATTTCTAATTTTACTTGGAGTCTATGTTTATATTGTCTGTCTTGATAAGGCCAATTGGCTGATCAATAAAAATTGTTTCGAGAATATTTATAGAAATTTTTTTAGAATTTCTGATAATATTTTAATGAATATTTCTGCAAATACTTTTATGAATATTTGCAAATATTATGAATATTTGTGAATATTATTATGAATATTTCTGCAATTTACAGAATATTTCTGAGACTATTGATATAAATTTTTGTTTAAATTTTTGCGAATATTTTAATGAATATTTCTGCAAATATTTTAATGAATATTTCTGTATTTTACAGACGATTTCTGAGAATATTGATAGAAATATTTTTTACAATTTCTGCTAATATATTTAATGAATATTTTTGCAAATATTTAATGAATATTTCTACCCATATTGTACTGAATATTTCTGTCAGTATTTTTATGAATATTTCTGACAATATTTCTATGAATATTTCTGAGAATCATAGAATCATAGAGTTGGAAGAGACCTTGTGGGACATCCAGTCCAACCCCCTGGCAAGAAACAGGAAAATTGCATCCAAAGCACATATTTACAGAAATATTTTTTGAATTACTGTGAATATCTTAATCTGGATGGTTATATCTTAATATGTTCTTACTTTAATTGTGTTTTTGTTGAATTGTTTTATGCCTTGTGGACATTCTGTCCCATATGTAAGCCGTCCTGAGTCCCTTCGGGAAGATGTTGGTGGGATAGAAGAATAAACTTATTATTATTATTATTATTATTATTATTATTATTATCATGACAAGCATCTCAAGCTCTGAGGATGACATGGGAAGGAATCCCACTGGAGCATTTTAGCACAACCAAATACCTGGGAGTCACTCTGGACCATACTCTAACCTACAAGAAGCACTGCTTGAATATCAAGTAAAAAGTGGGCGCTTCAAACAATATTGTACGAAACCTGACTGGCACAACCTGGGGATCACAACCAGACACAGCAAAGACATTGGCTCTTGCGCTTTGCTACTTTGCTGCTGAATACGCATGCCCGGTGTGGAACACATCTCACCACGTTATAACAGTGGGTGTGGCTCTTAATGAGACATGCTGCATTATCACAAGATATCTACGCCCAACACCGCTGGAGAAATTATACTGTTTAGCCGGTATTGCACCACCTGACATCCACTAGAAAGTAGCAGCCTTTAATGAAGGGACCAAAATATGGACATGTCCGGCCAATCTCATGTTCAGACATGAGCCAGCATGCCAAAGCCTTGAATCAAGAAATAGATTTCTAAGATCTACAGAGATACCTGCAAGTACACCTCAGCAAGCAAGAGTCCAAAAGTGGCAGGCTAAAACCCCGAACCTCAATCAGTGGCTGACACCAAATGAGAGACTCCCTCCTGGGCACACAGAAAACTGGGCGACCCGGAAGGAACTGAACAGACTGCTCTCTGGCACCATGAGATACAGAGCCAACCTTAAGAAATGGGGCCGCAGAGTGGAGTCCACAGCATGTGAATGTGGAGAAGAGCAAACCACAGAACATCTAGTACAATGCAGCCTAAGCCCTGCCACATGCACAATCGAGGACCTTCTCACAGCAACACCAGAGGCACTCCAAGTGGCCAGATACTGGTCAAACAACATTTAGCATAATGCTAAGTTTTTAAACTTTGTTTGTGTTTTTAAATACTGTATATACTCAAGTATAAGCCTAGTTTTTCAGCCCCTTTTTTAGGCTGAAAAAGCTCCCCTCGGCTTATACTCGAGTCAAGGTTATTATTTTACGCCGTTATTAGTATTATTTTTATTTCATGTATTATTTTACTCTCTTTATTATTATTACATTGACAGCATTTACCCTATTATTATTATTATTATTATTATTATTATTACATGTATTATTTTACACTATTTATGATTATTATTACATTATTTTATTTATTATTGCATTTATTATTCTACTCTATTATTACTGTTATTATTGCATTTCCATTATTTTACTTCATTATTATTATATTTATTATTTTACTCTCTTTATTATTGTTGGAAGAATACGTAAGTACATTTACATTGAAGATATGTAATGATTTAATCAGAGTGGGCAGTCTTATCTCAAATTACAGTTTTATGTAAATATTAAAAAACATTTCACCTCCTGATGCCTCAATTAATGTAATTTTATCGGTATCTATTTTTATTTTGAAATTTACCTGTAGTACAGCGTTTCTCAACCTGGGGGTCGGGACCCCTGGGGGGGGGTCACCAGGGGGTGTCAGGGGGGTCACCAAAGACTATCAGAAAACACAGTATTTTCTATTGATCATGTATGTTTTGTGTGGGAAGTTTGCCCCAATTCCATTGTTGGTGGGGTTCAGAATTGTCTTTGATTATAGGTGAACTATAAATCCCAGCAACTACAACTCCCAAATGTCAAGGTCTATTTTCCCCAAACTCCCAAAATTGTTCATGATTGGGCATATTAAGTATTCATGCCAAGTTTGACATCAAGATTCATAATTGCTTGAGTTTACAGTGTTCTTTGGATGCAGGTGAACTACAACTCCACAACTCAAGGCAAAACCCACCTAATGCTTCTAATATTTTCTGCTGGTCATGGGAGTTTTGTGTGCCAAGTTTGGTTCAAGTCCATCACTGGTGGCGTTTGCAATGCTCTTTGATTGTAAGTTAACTATAAATTCCAGCAACTACAACTCCCAAGTGACAAACTCCCCCCAACCCCACCAGTATTCAAATTTCAGTGTATTGGGTATTTGTGCCAAATTTGGTCCAGTGAATGAAAATACATCCTGAATAACAGCTATTTACATTACAATTCATAACAGGAGCAAAATTACAGTTATGAAGAAGCAACGAAAATAATTTTATGGTTGGGGGTCTCCACAACATGAGGAACTGTTTTAAGGGGTCGCGGCATTAGGAAGGTTGAGACCCACTGCGTAGTGGCTGAATTTCCCACCCTCGGCTTATACTTGAGTCAATACATTTTCCGAGTTTTTTGTGGTAAAATTAGGTGCCTCGGCTTATATTCGGGTCGGCTTATACTCGAGTATATACAGTACATTACAACTGTACCCTCAGTTCTCTTCTGACATGATGAGTAAATAAATTATTATTATTATGAATATTTCTGTGAATATTTTTATGAATATTTCTGAGAATATTTGTGCTTCAACACATACATGCATGCACATGCATCCAAAACAACTCTTCCCTTGAACACGGGGCAACTGGATCAACTGACCGCTGTCAGAGGAGGCGAAGGAGGCGTCTTGGTCCCGTTCGGAGAACAACTCATCCAGGGACCGGATGGCGCTTTGATCCTCCTCAAGGGAGGGCCCTTCCAGGCTGGGTGTTGCAAACAGACGGCTCCCTTGTGGCGATGGGGAGTGGGCTGCTGCCCTGCTGGGGGGTCGCAATGAGGCAGCACGGGGTGGAGGGTCCTTCTTCTGAGCAAAGGAGAGAGGAGGACAAAGAAAACTTGCTTACGATACAATTTGTATCTCACGTTCCCCAACGCCTGCCCTGGTACATCTCAACGATCCAGAGCTACTGAAGAAAGACACAAGAGTCCAAGGCAAAGCATCATCAGTGAGGTGGTGCCATCTTTCCCTGGCTTGTGGCATCGCAGCACTTCCACTGCAGAGACCCCCCAACAACCACTGAAGCTTATTAGAATCATATTATTAGAATGATGTATTATTTATTTATTTATTTACTTCCTTTATATACCGCTTTTCTCAGCCCTTGGGCGACTCAAAGCGGTTAACAATAGCAAAATTCAATGCTCAACATCACAAAAAGAGTTCAAAACCGCTAAAAACAATTATATAATAAACAATCAGTTAAACATAACTATAACATCTCATTAGTGTCTCATAGGTAAAATCAAGATCCAATCTCATAATCCGTTGTTCTATGTTCCTATATTCAATACACTGCCTATTCAAATGCCTGCTCGAACAACCAGGTCTTCACTTTCCCCCGAAATGCCAACAGGGAGGGGGCCGATCTAATTTCTGTAGGAAGGGTGTTCCACAGCCGAGGGGCTACCACTGAGAAGGCCTTGTCTCTCGTCCCCACCAGACGTACTTGTGATGCAGGCAGGACTGAGAGCAGGGCCTCCCCAGACAATCTTAACATCCTAGCGGGTTCATAGGAGGAGATGCATTCGGACAGGTAAGTTGGGCCAGAACCGTTTAGGGCTTTATAGGCTAATGCCAGCACTTTGAATTGTGCCCGGTAGCAAACTGGCAGCCAGTGGAGCTGGCGCAACAGAGGAGTTGTATGCTCCCTGAGCACCGCTCCTGTTAGTAACCTGGCTGCCGAACGTTGGACCATTTGAAGCTTCCGGACCATCTTCAAAGGCAACCCCACGTAGAGAGCGTTGCAGCAGTCTATACGGGATGTAACCAGAGCATGGACTACTGTGGCCAAGTCAGACTTCCCAAGTTTTAACTGTGCAAATGCTCCTCTGGTCAACGCTGAAACCTGGGGTTCCAGGCTCAGTGATGAGTCCAGGATCATTCCCAAGCTGCGAACTCTTAAAGAAGGACAATGATATCTTGCATGTTCCAGGGTAGGCAAACCAGACACTCTCCACATCAACACTGACAAAGAAACAGCAAGAAATACTGTTTACCCACAAGCATCAAGACATTACATATATTAGAAACCAACACTTTCTTGTTACTTTTTTCCAGATCAACAGACAGGGCCACAGCAACGCATGGCAGGGGACAGCTAGTATATATATCTATATCTATCTCCCTTCTGAATTGGGGTGCCCAGAATTGACGAAAGCCGAACAGAATGGCACCATGACTTCTTCCCTCATTCTGGACACTAGACTCCTTTGGATGCAGCTCAAAATCCTATTGGCTTTTTGAGCTGCTGCATCATACTCTTTGTTGAAAATGACAACCTTCTTCATGCCTTCTCTAGCAATGTTTATCTATGATCTTGTTGCTTACTGTTTCCTATAGGTATGTTCTGGTATGCAGCTTCCTTTACTCTATGGTTCCTGAGAAGTTACAAAAGGGGCTGCAGACCACATGCTTTTATTCTCTCCTTTTGACTATGGGACCTATTGATAGCTGTTTTGTTATACGAGAAATGCCCTGGCCGGGTGGCACAGAAAATTATCTCAAAAATACCTGAAACTGGACTGATAAGTTTTGTACCTGTGTATGCTGAACAAACGAAGGTTGTAAGTAAACCAAACATGTTATTTCCATCAAAGTCTACTTCATTTTTGTCTCTTGAGCACATTATATGAAACAAGTTGTTTTATGGGAGAGTACCTTTTTGGGCCCTAAGAAAATAAAAACACTTCTAAAGCTCCACTGTTTTTTTTTTATGCACTGGCAAATCTTTGTTTTTCTGAAAGATCAGGGATTTCTGGTTATTCAGTCTAACAACTGAAACCATTGCCTTGCATAATTATATCTGGTTGTATACTACAAGGGGAGATTCTGCTTGGCTCTTCTCTAAAAGGTTATGTTCTCCAATACTCTTGGCTCATGTTCTACTTGTTGTCCACGAAGACCCCTTCTACACTGCTATATAAACTCCAAATTACCTGATTTGAATTGGATTACATGGCAGTGTGGACACATATAATCCAGTTCCAAGCAGATAATCTGGGATCCGATCCTGGGATATAGGGCAGTGTAGAAGGGGCCGAAGACTCCCAGTTTTTTTCCCCAGCTGTATGATGTGTATTCCCGAGGAGCCCCTCAACCTTCCCAAGTGGAGGTGATGTGTCCCTGGGAAGGGGCAAATGGGGGAGCCCATCAGAGAGAGAGAGAGAGCAAAAGAGAGGCCCACCTGCCTGCCCTCGGTGTCTCGGGAGCCCCTCAGGACAGAGTCAGGGTCGGAGGAGGAGAGCTCAGAAGCATCCAAAAGGGCAGCCAGGTGCTTGGCGCCTTCTTCCCGACGACGGAATATTCTGCTCTGGATCTGTGCCGCTTTCCTGAGGGCGGGGCTGGGCCTGGCCGGCGGGGCAGAGAGGGGCCCTAGGAGCCTCTGCAGGGCCGGATCGGGGCCCAGTGTCCCCAGGTCATCCGTGGCCCCGGAGGCAGGCTTCTGCTTGAGGAACCGCCTGGGCTGCTGGGAAGCGCCTTCCTCCTCTTCCTCCTTCAGACCTGTCCTCCCATTTGATGCTAATGGTAGGATTAGGCAACAACATGAAAAAACAAGATTTTAGCAGGACGGGCAGTGATAGTATGGGGTGGGAAAGGCGGAGTGCGGGGGGGGGGGGGGGAGGGGGAATGACTATGGAAAATCAGAATAATTACCTTGACAATCAGGCATGACATTATAGCATGTTTAATTCAGGAGGATATGGAGGAGGAGAAAATAATAATAATGCAATATGCAGGAGAATATAATAATAATAATAATAATAATAATAATAATAATAATAATAGTTTTGGAACACAATACACCAGACATCACAATTGTGGAAAAGAAAAAAGTCTGGATTATTGATGTCGCCATTCCAGGTGACAGTCGCATTGAGGAAAAACAACAGGAAAAACTCAGCCGTCATCAAGACCTCAAAATCGAACTGCAAAGGCTCTGGCATAAACCAGTCCAGGTGGTCCCAGTGGTCATTGGCGCACTGGGTGCCGTGCCAAAAGATCTCAGCCAGCATTTGGAAACAATAAACATTGACAAAATCACAATCTGTCAATTGCAAAAGGCCACCTGACTTGGATCTGCGCACATCATTCAAAAATATATGACACAGTCCTAGACGCTTGGGAAGTGTTCAACTTGTGATTTTGTGATACGAAATCCAGCATATAGATCTCGTTTGCTGTGACATAATGTGCTTTTGTGTAAATAATAATAATAACAACAACAACGTATGCAGGAGGATAAAATAACAACCACAATAATAATAATACAATATGAAGGAGGATAAAATAATCATAGAATTATAGAGTTGGAAAAGACCTCATGGGCCATCTAGTCAACCCCTGTCAAGAAGCAGGAAATAAATAAGCCGCCTTGAGTCCCCTTCAGGGTGGAGAACAGCGGGGTAGAAATGTCATAAATAACTTAATAATTACTAATAATAATAATAATATGGTACGCAGGAGGATGAAATAACAACAACAACAATAATATAGTACACAGGAAGACGAAATAATAACAATAATAATAATAATAATAATAAGGTATGCAGAAGGATAAAATAGTAATAATAATAATAATAATAATAATAATAATAATAATAATACTGTATGCAGGGGGATATAATAATAATAATAATAAGAAGAAGAAGAAGAAGAAGAAGAAGAAGAAGAAGGACAAGGTACACAGGAGGATAAAATAATAATAATAATAATAATAATAATAATAAGGTACACAAGAGGATAAAATAGTAATAATGATAATGGTAATGATAATGATGATAATAATCATAATAATAATAACATGGAAATAATAATGTGTTTCTATAAAATCCATATTAAATCCACAGGATCGAGATCAAAACACAGGAGGACATGAGATTAAAATTCATGCTTAAAACTGGCTGGGCAAAAATAAGAGAAATGAAAGACAAATAGAGGAGGGTTTATACGGAATGGATAAAAAAACGGTGAGGAATAATAGAATCAAAGAGTTGGAAGAGACCTCATGGGTCATCCAGTCCAACCCCATTCTGCCAAAAGCAGGAATATTGCATTCAAATCACCCCTGACAGATGGCCATCCAGCCTCTGTTTAAAAGCTTCCAAAGAAGGAGACACATGTAACTTAAGGTTATTGTGCTCATGGTTAAAGACAGAGAGGAAATATGTGGTCTGGGTGATGGGTGGTAGGGTTGGGAAGATTGGAACCATTACCAATTATTAATACAAAATATTATTGAAAAAAACAAACAAACCTGTCTTCCATCGAGACTCCTTCTTTCCAGTTCCCGAAGGAGGCCCCTCCTGCAGGGAAGGGAAAGGGAAACAAAAGAAGGGAAGACAGAGGGGAGGAAAAAGGCTCAGATGCAAAGCAGTTTAAAAGATTCAATTTCACATCCACAGATATTAGAATCATTATTCCCCCCCCCCCATAATCTCTCTATATATATGTACAGTAGAGTCTCGCTTATCCAGCCTTTGCTTATCCGACATTCTGTCTTATCCCACACTCTTATTTTCTCCAGCATTTCCTCTTCAATTAAAGGAGTGCTCCCCAATTCTCTCTCCATTCCCAATAAGGACCAGAAGGGGAAGCGTCCTCCCTCCTTCCCTCTGTTATTTCCACGCTCCTCTTCCGCAGCCGGACACTTCCTGTTGGGCCGCTCTAGCCTTAAGGTGTTGCCTTGCCTTAACCCTTTGAGTCATTGTTGTTAGCATTCTAGGTGTCTAGTGCTGCGTCAGATGGGTAACAGGAGGAGACTCCGTATTATCCAACATTTTCGTTTATACGACGTTCTGCCAACCCATTTATGTCGGATAAGCGAAACTCTACTGCAGGGGTCCTCAAACTAAGGCCTGGGGCCCGGATACGGCCCTCCAAGGTCATTTACCCAGCCCTCGCCCAGGGTCAACCTAAGTTTGAAATGACTTGAAAACACACAACAACAACAACAATCCTATCACATGAGTCAAAAGCAGGCCCACATTTCCCATTGAAATACTAGTAAGTTTAAATTTGTGTGGTGAAGTGTAAATTTTAACCTACAGTTATGTATAATTATAGATAGGTGTTTAAAAGGGTAAGTATTTAAAATAGCATAACTGGGGGGATGGTAGCCAGCTCAGCTCACTCTGAGTTAGGTTGCCATGGAAAAAGGGGAGGAGCCAACTGCCACTTGGCAGGGCGGGCATTTTAAAACAGTCAGTCTGTAGTCTGTGACTGTGACCTGGCCCTCTGTTTAAAAAGTTTGTGGATCCCTGCTCTAAAGAGATGTGCCTCTAAGAGTTGAGAAACATTGAAACCATTAAGCTTCTTCTATACTTCAATACACTTGTTACAGTTTCTTTTAAAGCCAACCCTCTGCTACGAATACTTTCAAGTCAAGCCGTGCTACACATTGAAGAAAGACCAACGAAGTATTACAAGCTATTAGCTGTGTTATCAATTTTGTAAATCCATGACAACTAGTAGGAGACCCTGATAAATCAGTGATGACCCTACTACTTCTGGTGTTGTCGTTACAAAGTGGTGGCATCGTTACAATTTGTTTAAATTGTTCTTCATTTTAATTATTGTATTGTTTTTAAGTGATTTTTGCACTACAAATAAGATATGTGCAGTGTGCATAGGAATTCATTCATGTTTTTTTTCAAATTATAATCCGGCCCTCCAACAGTTTGAGGAACTGTGACCTGGCCTTCTATTTAAAAAGTTTGTGGACCCCTGCTCTACTGTATAACATTTCCCTTTTTCCCATACACATACAAGGAGGAGGGTATAAAAGTCAGGTAAGAAAGAAAGAAAAAGGAGAAATTTGAGTTATTGTGAGTAATTTAAGTCTAATATTTCACAGAGGAGGAGACAGGAAAAAAGCCAATGTACATAGTTATGGTTATTGCATCTAATTTTCAAGGCTTCAGAAAAATGCAGCAGGTTTGTGGGTTAAATCTTGACTGTGACATCCATAGGGAATATGATCCTAAGAGAGGTGGTGGAAATACCCCAGAGGGAACTAAGATACTGCATTTCTAAGTGGAAGGTCCTGTAAAAATAGATGGCATGAGAAATAAAACTTTGAAAGACTGTGGATAGAAGATCTTATTTCGAAGAAATGGAACGCTACATTAAATTAATCAAGAATGAGATGAAGATGCGAGTTAAAACAGGACTTGCTGTTCAAAAATATGAACAAGTAATGTGTTGTTGTTTATTCGTTCAGTGGCTTCTGACTCCTCGTGACCTCATGGACCAGCCCACGCTACGCCAGAGCTCCCTGTTGGCTTTGGCCACTCCCAGCTCCTTCAAAGCCAGTAGTCACTTCAAGGATACCATCTTGCCCTTGGTCGGCCCCTTTTCCTTTTTCCTTCCCTTTTCCCCAGCATCATTCTCTTCTCCAAGCTTCCCTGTCTTCTCATTATGTGGTCAAAGTACTTCATCTTTGCCTCTAATATCCTTCCCTCCAATGAGCACTTGGACTTTATTTCCTGGAGGATGGACTGGTTTGATCTTCTTACGGTCCAAAACACTCTCTCTTCCTTTGCTCAGCCTTCCTTATGGTCCAGCTCTCACATCCATAGGTTACTACGGGTAACACCATTACTTTGACTATGAGGATCTTCGTTGCCAGTGTGATGTCTTTGTTGTTGTTGTTCATTCGTTCAGTCGTCTCCGACTCTTCGTGACCTCATGGACCAGACCACGCCAGAGCTCCCTGTCGGCCGTCACCACCCCCAGCTCCTTCAAGGTCAGTCCAGTCACTTCAAGGATGCCATCCATCCATCTTGCCCTTGGTCGGCCCCTCTTCCTTTTACCTTCCACTTTCCCCAGCTTAATTGTCTTCTCTAGGCTTTGCTGTCTCCTCATGATGTGGCCAAAGTACTTCAACTTTGTCTCTAGTATCCTTCCCTCCAATGAGTAGTCGGGCTTTATTTCCTGGAGGATGGACTGGTTGGATCTTCTCGCAGTCCAAGGCACTCTCAGAACTTTCCTCCAACACCACAGCTCAAAAGCATCGATCTTCCTTCGCTCAGAATTCCCTAAGGTCCAGCTCTCACATCCGTAGGTTACTACAGGGAATACCATGGCTTTGACTAGGCAATGGATCTTTGTTGACAGTGTGATGTCTCTACTCTTTACTATTTTATCGAGACTGGAAATTGCTCTCCTCCCAAGAAGTAAGCGTCTTCTGATTTCCTGGCCACAGTCTGCATCTGCAGTAACCTTTGCACCTAGAAATACAAAGTCTGTCACGGCCTCCACATTTTTTCATGTCTCTACTCTTCACTATTTTATCGAGATTGGTCATTGCTCTCCTCCCAAGAAAGAAACATCTTCTGATTTCCCTGCCACATGCACAATGGAGGACCTTCTGACAGCAACACCACAGGCACTCCAACTGGCCAGCTTCTGGTCAAAGGACATTTAGTATCATGCCAAGTTTTTTTAAACTTTGGGTTGTTGTAAGTTTTTCAGGCTGTATGGCCATGTTCTAGAAGTATTCTCTCCTGACGTTTTGCCTGCATCTTTGGCAGGCATCCTCAGAGGTTGTGAGGTCTGTTGGAAACTAGAAAAAATGGGTTTATGTATCTGTGGAAAGTCCAGGCTGGGAGAAAGAACTCTTGTCTGTTGGAGCTAGGTGTGAATGTTCCAGTTGGCCACCTTGATTAGCATTTGATGGCCTGACAGTTTTTAGGTAATAAGAAATTCAATGTATTTTATAAATGTGGATTTAATATATATAGGTATGAATGGGTTGAATGGAAGGATGTATGGATGGAGTTAATAATTTTGGAAACACCAAAATTATTAACACCAAAATATTCCAAAGGAAATAAGACACGCCCCATCCATCCCGGGCTGGCTTCGAACTAAATATAAATAAATAAATATAAATATATTTATTAAATATAAATATATTTACTAAATATAAATAAATAAATAAATGCTCATAGTACTTATTGTATGAGGGGTGGAGGTAGCTCAGGCCTGGGCTGACTTGGGCCCTCCCTCCAGGTATTTTGGATTCCAACTCCAGCATTTCTAACAGACTCAGGCCTTTTCCTTTTCCCCCTCAGGAAGGGGCCTGAGACTGTTAAGAATGCTGGGAATTGGAGTCCAAAACACCCGGAGCGCCCAAGTTTGCCCAGGCCTAAGTTAGCTGGTTTCCACAACAGGCCTCTCTTTCTCTCTCTCATTTCCCGCCCGTGACGTCACCTCCGAACTGCCTCGGTCCCGTCTCATCGCGGCCTTCTTCCTTCTTCCCACTTCTCGTGGCGTTGCCTAGCAACCTGATCAGGGAGGCCGGAGCCAATCAGAGCGAAGGAGATGGGCGGAGTCCGTCTTCTCCGCGCGGGAGCCGAAAAGGACCAATGGGAGGGCGCGGACTGAGCCAGGCCAATCGGCGCCTTGCAAACCACACAGCCAGCCAATAGGAGAGCGAGAGGGGAGGAGACTTCATTTCCGGCGGCTTTTCGGCTTCCTCGCCGTTGCCAGGACGACGGCGACGACGCAGAGAGGATGAAAAGGGCCGTCTCGGCGCTGTTTTTGTGCCTGCTCTTCGGGCCCTTCATCCGGGGCACCGTCTACTTCCGGGAGCAGTTCCTGGATGGAGGTGGGCGCGGCTCAGGGGCGGGGCATCCTTTTGTATTAGCATTTAGTGGCTTTGCAGCTTCAAGGTCTGGCTGGTTGCTGCCTGGGGGAATCCTTTGTTGGGAGGTGATTAGCTGGCCCTGATGGTTTCTTGGGGAATGCAACAAAAGATTCCCCCAGGCAGTAAGCAATCAGACCTTGAAGCTGCAAGACCATTAAATGCTAATAGGTAAAAGTAAAGGTAGTCCCCTGACATTAAGTCCAGTCGTGTCTGACTCTGGGGTGTGGTGCTCATCTCCATTTCTAAGCGGAAGAGCCGGCATTGTCCGTAGACACCTCCAAGGTCATGTGGCCGGCATGACTGCATGGAGCGCCCTTACCTTCCTGCCGGATCAATACCTATTGATCTACTCGCATTTGCATGTTTTCAAACTGCTAGGTTGGCAGAAGCTAGGGCTGACAGCAGAAGCTCACACCACTCCCCGGAATCGAACCTGTGACCTTTCGGTCAATAAGCTCAGCAGCTCAGTGCTTTAACCCACTGCGCCACTGGGGGCTCCTAAATGCTAATAGAGGCAGCCAATTACAACATTCACACATGCCTCTAACAGACAAGAGTTCTTTCTCCCACCCTGAACATTATCCCACAGGGATATATATAAACCCTACTTGCCTAGTTTCCAACAGACCACACAACCTCTGTGGATGCCTGCTATAAATGCGGGCAAAACGTCTGGAGAGAATGCTTCTGGAACATGGCCAGAAAACTCACAACCCAGTGATTCCGGTCATGAAAACCTTTAATGGACACAGACAAAAGTTCTTTCTTCTACCCTAGACATTAGCCCACAGGTATATAAACCTCACTTGCCTAGTTTCCAACAGACCTCACGACCTCTGAGGATGGCTGCCATAGATGCAGACAAAACGTCAGGAGAGAATGCTTCTGGAACATGGCCATGCAGCCTGGAAAACTCACAGCAATCCACTAAAATTAATTAATTAATTTTATCCCACTTTTCTCCCACAGGTGGGACTCCAAGTGGCAAACAAATGGTTAAAGAAATTCCATAATCCAAAGCACAACAACATTATTATCATTTACTGTATTTATATTCCGCCCTTCCCACCCTGAAGGGGTCTCGGGGCAGATCACAATGCACGCATACACAGTAAACATTCAATGCCGTTTCTGATATACAAGACATACAGACAGATAGAGGCCATTCAGAAGTTCTTCCACTTCGGATCCTGGAGGTTGCTTGATTTGGTCACAGGGGGAGCTGTCACTTCATCCACTATGATGCCGAGCCCCGCTTTAAGTGGGCCCTAATTTATCTACTCACAGCACAGCTGTTTTCAAACTGCTTAGGTGGACTTAGCTTGGCTAATTTTTTAACAGCTATTAACTGTCGGGTGCTCAACCCCGACTCGGGCTTCAAACTTGCCACCTTTTGGTCCGCAGTGATTTATTGCAGCTCATTAACCAGCTGTGCTACCAGCCCAGCATAATAAATAATAAAGGACCCCCTGGTGGCTGACCGAAAGGTCGATGGTTCAGATCCAGGGAGCAGGGTGAACATTACATATATTAGAAACCAACACTTTCTCAGTACTTTATTTTCCAGATCACCAGACTGGCCACAGCAACGCATGGCAGGGGACCGCTAGTGTGTATATATATATATATATATATATATATATATATATATAGAGAGAGAGAGAGAGAGAGAGAGAGAGAGAGAGAGAGAGATGATGCTGATGAAGGCAAAATGAAAATACATAATAAACACATTGGACAATATATATTTGATGTAACCATATTAGAAATAGGAGTTAGAAAATATATGAAATCACAATGAGAAATGTATGTATGCATGACCTTCACTTCACTTGGCTTCTTAAAAGTGCAAAATTAGATGCTTCAAGAGGGGCCAGGGTCTAAAGAAAGGAATGCCTAGAGGCCTCTGGCACATCTCAGGCCTCTGGCATATCTCAGGAGACTCCTTCCATTTTGGTACCAGGCAAGCTTATCGTAAGATTAATGAGGTGGACATCAAGAGGCTTCAGGAAGAACTTATCTCAAGATGGATGGAAGCTCTTGCTATCGGATCTAGTAGACATTCTGGCGATGGTCCTCATTAATAGCACCTCCTCAGATAAAATGCTCAAAATGAAGATTGACAGGTGTTGAGGTTGAAATATGACATTGAAGTAAATGTAAAAGCAGAATTTTGTGACGCACATTGTGATGCCTGTATGATGCATGCATATTATTTTAAAGGGTATATAAACCAAGTCTTTTCTTTGTTCTGTACCCTGTTTTCCTGGCTTACCAGGAGGCTCCATATCTGGTTGGCGCCAACCAAGAATAAACCCTGCTTTTCAGACCTCGGGAACTCTCTTTGTCTCATTTTCCTCAAACCTTCAAACCTTCTTCCTGCCATTTCAGTGCCAGAGAGAGATGCCTAATGTTTTTATTCCTGGTGAGATCCGACCAAAGCCGAAGAGAGCAGAACTTGGGCTTCTCTCCCTCTCGACACTCTCCTTCTTTGGACAAGGGTGAGAGTCACTCCGGCTTCCCCTTCTCTTCTCTGCAGCAAAATGGCAGGAGCGGTGGGTGCTCTCCGAGCATCGAGGCAACTACGGGAAGTTCAGGCTGACGGCAGGAGCCTTTTACGGTGACCGGGAGCTCGACAAAGGTTCGTGAGTCTTTCAGTATAACTGTCATTCCTCCCCTCTCCCCAAGGCCTTTACAATTTCCCTTATTGAGCCTTAGTTGTCCAACAACTCCTTTGCAGCAGGTTAGTTAGTCTGAGGGTGCCGAGGAGCCTAGCGGCTGTAACATCTTCCAAGTGTAAGGTCAAGGAAACTTAGTTTAATACATTTTAGTTAACTATTAGAGGACTTTCAGCATAATGATTAGTGTCTATTTGTCTGTGCATTTTTTGTCTTTTATTGTTGATATATGGTCAGTGGACCAATTAATAAAAAGATAGATCAATCTATTGGGTTGTTGTAGGTTTTTCGGGCTGTATGGCCATATTCTAGAAGCATTCCCTCTTGACGTTTCACCTGCATCTATGGCAGGCATCCTTAGAGGTTGTGAGGTCTGTTGGAAACTAGGAAAATTAGGTTTATATGTCTGTGGAAAGCCCAGGTGAAAGAAAGAACTCTTGTCTGTTGGAGCTAGGTGTGAATGTTTCAATTGGCCACCTTGACTAGCATTTGATGACCTGGCAGCTTTCTCTTTGGGCCCCCTGGCTTCCTGCTGGGCTAAGGTTGTGATAGCGAGCTGCTTTTAGGAGGGTCTCCCCAGCCGAGGAGATCCCTGAGGACCACACCAAAGAGAGTCCTGGAACCTTGGTGAGGCCAGCAAAGCCAATTTCAGCGATAAAAATATTAAAAATAATAAATCCTCACCAAAGCGGAAGAAGTTTCAGCGACCGAGGCGTTTTATTAGCGATTCAGCTGAGATCGGATGCATTGTAGGAATAGTTCCACTACAAGCATACTGCTAGAGATTTTACAAACATATTTATAGAGAAAAGACAAAGGAAAACAATTCAAATCTTCCGCCTGCCCCTTGCCGGCCGGCTTCACGCTGATTGGCTGACAGCCCGAACAGCTGGGAGGAGGCTTGGCGGCCCGCCTCGCTCTGGGCCAATCAGCTAGTTTCTCCGCCTCTGGAGTGCCAATCGGCAAGCTTCTCTCGCTTCTGAGGATTGACAAATCAGAAGAGAGGAGGCGGGACGATCGCGTACAATGGGGAAATGATGGGATTATGGATTGCCAGCCAGCTGGAATGTGAGGCTTTGTTTTGGCTGGCAAGGTGCGATCTCCATAAACAAAGGCTTTCCTGTCCTTGATGGGTTTTGGTGAGGGGAAACAAACAGGATCAGGGCAGCCGACCTCGGGGGGGGGGGGGGATCAACGCTGCCCTGTGTAGAATCAATTATAATGTCTGTATCCAAATAGACTTCCTCATCTCGCCAGACAAACTCAGCGAGAAAAAGGAAACCATAAATGGCTATTGTTCCATGCAGATGTGAAATAATCAAATAAGAAAGGGAGGTGGTGGTTCTCCCTCAAGCATTTCAACAGTTCTGGGTCACATTTTCTAGGGCAAAAGGCAAAGGGGAAAGGCAATATTCCATAGCAAGATACATACATTCATAATCATAAGCATTTCATAGCAACAAAAACCCTATCTTTGTCCCACATTCCAAGTATATTTAATAAGAGGATTAATTTTCATGAAGAAGCCTGAAGTCCAATGTTTTAAAAGGTCTTTGAGGAAAGTTCATGAGGGAGATAGTATGTACTGAAGTCCAAGACATGCAGGCAGAGAGTCCATGATCATTGGGAAGGCTGGCAGATGAAACCCCAGCTGTGCTGCAACTGATTCATGCTTTTGTTCCTTGGGAAACTACAACTCTCACAAAGGGCAGAAGTCCCAAGATCCAGCCATTTCCCAAAAGCCTCGTGGGGTCCTTGTTGTTGTCAGTGCCTTGGCAATGTGACCAAGACTTAACCCTTGTTGTGTAGTCTGGTGCCCTTGCCCTTTGCAGAACTATAAGTCACTATCCCTTATTTTTTTTTGGGGGGGGGGGTGCTCGACATCACCTCCATTTGGGAGTCCCTATGTAGACTTGTCCACAGCTGCATGGGATACGGTAGACTCCTGCAGAAGTGAGAGGATCCCTCTTGTCCTTTGCTGAACGTAGCATTTGTTGGATTTTCTTTATGGGTCTGTAGATTGTAGGTTGTATTTCCTCATCAGCTTCCCTATGCAGTCAGTGGTTCCCTTGATGTATGGCAAGAACACTTTTCCTCTGGGTGGATCTTTGTCTTAACTCTCATGGCTTGTCCTCAATCTTGCAGCTCTTTTGATATCTGTGGTGGCGTCTACATTGGCTTGTAGAGCCCAGTTTAGGTGGTTCAGTTCGTCTTGGAGGAGGAGGTGGGGTCCACAGATTCTTTTTGCACGGTGTGCCAGAGCTTTAATTGTGCTTTTTTTTTTTTCACTTGGGTGATGGTTGTATCTATTTTTCAGATACAATATTTGAACAAGTTAAGTTGGCTTTTCAAGGTTGGTAGATATGTTAGCGCCCTGTTTTAATTGGGATTCCTCCCCTCCAATCCCACGATTACCATGTTAATTCTATCCAATAAGGGGTGTCTTTGCTGGTTAAACAGTTTCATGGTTGGCATCTCACTGTGAAAATGGTGCTGCTCAATGCCTTAATTCCTAGCCAGTGTTCCTAATTAAGACTTAAAAATAGGAGATGTTTTTAAAAGGTTTTCAGTAGTTTATTCTGATGTTTAATACTGCTTCGACACTTGTATATTTCTATATTTTAAGTTGTATTGTCATGCTTTTAGTTATGAGCCACTTGGAGCCTCTGTTTGGAGAGAAAAAGCAGGATATAAATAAAGATTATAATAATTATAATTATTTTATTGACACAAAAACACAGTATGTGACAGCAAATGAGATCTATATGCTGGATTTCGTATCACAAAATCACAAGTCAAATACTTCCCATGCATCTAGGACTGTGTGATGTATTTTCGAATGATGCATGCAGATCCAAGTAAGGTGGCCTTTCGCAGTTGACAGATGATCATTTTGTCAATGTTTATGGTTTCCAAATGCCGGCTGAGATCTTTTGGCACGGCACCCAGTGTGCCAATGACCACTGGGACCACCTGTACTGGTTTATGCCAGAGCTTTTGCAGTTTGATTTTGAGATCCTGATAATGGCTGAGTTTTTCCTGTTGTTTTTCCTCAATGTGACTGTCACCTGGTATGGCGACATCAATAATCCAAACTTTTCTTTTCCACAATCGTGATGTCTGATGTATTGTGTTCCAAAACTTTGTCAGTCTGGATTCGAAAGTCCCACAGTATTTTTGCGTGTTCATTTTCCACTACCTTTGTAGGTTTATGATCCCACCAATTCTTTACTGCTGGCAGGTGGTACTTATGATATTATTATTATTATTATTATTATTATTATTATTATTACTATTATTATTCTGCAGAAGGAACAAAGGGGCGGGCCAGCTTGAACTGAGCCAGGCAAGTACCACACAGAGGAAAGGACAGCTTTTAAACAGAGGTTTTTAAAATTCACACCATATGCACATTTCTACCCCTCTTTCTTCCCCTCCTTTGCCTCCTCTTTCCTTCAGGCAACCAAAGCACATGCTGCAATTAGCAAGCAGTTAACAATGGTTATTACCTTCATCTTTGCCTCTTCACTATGAACTCTAGGCTTGCAGACCAGCGAAAACCTGAAGTTCTATGCCATCTCAGCACGCTTTCAGCCCTTCAGCAATGCCGGGCGGCCTCTGGTCCTGCAATATACCGTGAAGCACGAGCAGAAGATGGACTGTGGGGGTGGATACATCAAGCTCTTCCCGGCGGATCTGGACCAGAGAAACATGAGTGGCGCATCCCCCTACTATATCATGTTCGGTGAGCAAAGGCCTGCCTTCCACACCAGGAGGCGGCAGCAACGTCCAGTCTTTTACACCAGGAAGCCAACTCTCCCCTATTTTCTAGGTCCAGATATATGCAGCTCTGACGTACGCAAAGTCCATGTCATTTTGAGGTACAAGGACAAGCTTTACCCCATTAAGAAAGAGATCCGCTGCAAAGTAAGTCCTATGCGCAGGCAAGCCCCCAAGTGATGAACATGATCGGTTCTGGAGGTTTGTTCTGAAGTTGTCATGAATGACTTTTCAATAACTTTGAAGCATAGGTTCTTTTTATTGCAATTTCCAGTGTGAGAGGGTAGATCAGATTATAGAAAAACATTTAGACAAGGAATGACATTGGACATACAGACATACAGATTCTATGCAACTACATTGGATTTACATTGGTTAACAAGCAAACAAAGGGGAATTACATTTTCACTCAACATTCACACACATGTACACGCATTCATCCACATGCATCCAAAATATTACCATATCCTTTTCTCCCTCCTTGGAGAAACACCTGTTAGGCCATACCCTGCTTCCCTGCAGCCTGCCAACGTATAGTTCCATAACCCCTGGCGGTGTCTTCCAAATTCCATTAACTGGAGTTCACCCAGAAGCAGCTACCTGGCCTGAGTTGACACCCAGCCTCTTGGGCTGCCCCCTGAGCTCTCCTTTCCTCTGCAGGTGGACGGGTTCACACACCTGTACACCCTGGTTCTGAAGCCGGACCACACCTACCAAGTGAAGATCGACAACGCCAAGGTTGCCTCGGGGCTTCTGGAGGACGACTGGGCCTTCCTGCCACCCAAGACCCTCAATGACCCACGGGTGGAGAAACCACATGACTGGGATGACCGGCCCGAAGTGGACGATCCAGATGACACAAAGCCAGAGGTGCTTCTCTTCTCTCTCCTGCCAAGGGGAGGCTTCCTATTATCATTGTTGTCTACCCATCTTCTTCCATCATCGGTCTATCCCAGGGGTCCTCAAACTAAGGCCCGGGGGCCGGATACGGCCCTCCAAGGTCATTTACCCGGCCCTCAGGGTCAACCTAAGTCTGAAATGACTTGAAAGCATACAACAATAACAACAACAATCCTATCTCATCAGCCAAAACCAGGCCCACACTTCCCATTAAAATACTAATAAGTTTATATTTGCTAAAATTGTTCTTCATTTTAATTATTGTATTGTTTTTAACTGTTTTTTTGCACTACAAATAAGATATGTGCAGTGTGCATAGGAATTCATTCATTTTTTTTTTCAAATTATAATCCAGCCCTCCAACAGTTTGAGGGACTGTGACCTGGCCCTCTGTTCAAAAAGTATGAGGACCCCTGGGCTATCCTATCTTTCTTCTACTATTTGTCTATCTGTTCTACCTATCCATCTGCCTACGTATCTTCTTTCTATCTCTCTCATCTCTCATTCAGCCCATCCCCATTCTGCATTGCTATTATTGTAATCATTATTCCCATAGAGCCCCAAGGAATCCTAAGGGCCATTCAGTCCACTCCCACTCTGCCAAGCAGCAAGATACAACTGCTATTATTATTATTATTATTATTATTATTATTATTATTATTATTCCCATAGAGCCAGAGGGGACACCAAGGGCCATCCAGTCCCTTTGAGCTTCTACTTCACGACCCTGTTCTCTTTCTTTTCTGCCGCAGGACTGGGACGTTTCAGAGTTCATTCTGGACACCAGCGCCGAGCGTCCGGCAGATTGGGACGAGGCTAAGCAGGGCCGGTGGCAGCCCCCACTCCTCCAGAACCCCCTCTACCGGGTGAGGCTTCCTCTTCCTCTGCTCTGCCTTGGTGGATGGAGACTCATAAACACAGGCTTGTGCTTTCCTTTCAGGGGCAATGGAAGCCTCGGCGAATCCCAAACCCCAAGTACCGTGGCGTTTGGCCCCATCCCCAGGTTGTGAACCCCGAATTTGCTCCGGACTCAAGCATTGCGGTCTACCATGACATTGGGGCGATTGGACTGGAGCTTTGGCAGGTTGGTTTAGAATCCCCTATTGTTCCTGTGCTGTCTGGGTAATTTTTCCTTCCCATAATATTATTAATTTTTTTATTGTTAAAATCCTCCCAACCATATCTGGAGTCCTATACCATTTCAATATGAAACTTATAATATAAAATTTATATAATACTACTTGCAATGCCCAAGTTATTTGAAAAAAGGATTGTTTGTTTTGGGGTGTTAGGTAATATCATTTAATTAATTAGTAACACTATCAGAAAAAAAAGAGTTTTTGTCTTGGTTTTTTTAATTAATGCTCCCATTATAAAATGCATAAGGATGTGGGTGAACTATAACTCCCAAAACCGTGGGTCAATCCTCCCAGGCCTGTATACACAGTTGGCCATGTTGCATCTGTGTGCCACATTTGGTCCACATCCGACATTGGCTGGGTTCAATGTTCTCTGGATGCAGGTGAACTACAACTCCCAAAATCAAGGTAGATTCCCACAAACCCCAACAGTATGTTCAGTTGGTCATGGGGCTTCTCTGTGCCAAGTTTGGTTCCGGTCCATTGTCGTTGGGGGTATTTATTTATTTATCGTGTCAGGAGCAACCAGACAGTTGTATTATATTTTTAACAAAACAAACAAACAAATAAACAAGCCTTCGACAATACATTAAACAAACAAACAAACAGACAGACAAAACACAAAGTTTGCAAGCTTGGTAGTTGATTAAATGTCCTTTGACTAGTATCTGGCCACTTGGAGTGCCTCTGGTGTTGCCGCAAGGAGGTCCTCCCTTGTGCATGTGGCAGGGCTCAGGTTGCATTGCAGCAGGTGGTCAGTGGTTTGCTCTTCTCCACACTCGCATGTTGTGGATTCCACTTTGTGGCCCCATTTCTGAAGGTTGGCTCTGCATCTGTGGGTTCTGTGTGGGAAGTCTGACCCAATTCTATCATTGGTCAGAATGCTCTTTGATTGTAGGTGAACTATAAATATCAGTAACTACAACTGCTAGATGTCAAGGTCTATTTTCCCCAAACTCCATCTGTTTTCGTATCTCAGCCTATAGGGTATTCATGCTAAGTTTGGTCAAAGGAGGGGCTTTGATTATGTTTTCTTGCCCTGGTGAATGGAGTTGGACTGGATGGCCTTAATTATTTTCTCTTCGTCATGGGGGTTCTATGTGGGAAGTTTGCCCCACTTCTGTCATTGGTGGGGTTCAGAATGCTCTTTGATTGTAAGTGAACTATAAATCCTAGTAACTACAACTCCCAAATGTCAAGGTCTGTTTTCCCCAAACTCCATCTGTGTTCACATTTGGGCATGTGGAATATTCCTGCCAAGTTTGCCAAGATCCATCAATATTTGAGTCCACAGTGCTCTCTGGATATATATGAACTAAACTCCCAAACTCAAGGTCAATGCCCACCAAACCCTTCTAGTGTTTTCTGTTGGTCATGGGAGTCCTGTATGCCACGTTTGGTTCAATCCCATCATTGGTGGAGTTCAGGATGCTGTTTGATTGTAGGTGAACTAGAAATCCCAGCAACTACAACTCTCAAATGACAAAATCATTTTTTTAGTGATGGTCACTCCTTTGGTTAGTATCTGTGGGCAAATTTGGCAGCAATTCGTCCAATGGTTTTTCAGTTATGTTAATCCCACAAACAAACATTACATTTTTATTTATATAGATTAAAAAGCCACAGAAAATGACCCAATCTACTCCTCTTCTTTTTAAAAAAATCCTTTCCTGCAGGTCAGATCTGGCACCATTTTCGACAACTTCTTGATTTCCGATGATGAAGAGTACGCTGAAGAATTTGGGGAGGATACTTGGGGGGAGACCAAGGTGAGAGACCCCCCCCTTCTTCCTGTTTGGCAACAGGCCGCACGCAGAGTGCAAAACAAAACCCATGTCTTCAGAACAGACAAGCATCTCGAGCTCTGAGGATTACCTGGGAAGGAATCCCACTGGAGCATTGCAGCACACCCAAATACCTGGGAGTCACTCTGGACCATTCTCTGACCTACAAGAAGCACTGCCTGAACATCAAACAAAAAGTGGGTGCTAGAAACAATATCATATGAAAGCTGACTGGCACAACCTGGGGATCGCAACCAGATACAGTGAAGACATCTGCCCTTGCGCTTTGCTACTCTGCTGCTGAGTACGCATGGCCAGTGTGGAACACATCTCACCACACTAAAACAGTGGATGTGGTTCTTAATGAGACATGCCGCATTATCACGGGGTGTCTGCGCCCTACACCACTGGAGAAATTACACTGCTTAACCGGTATGGCACCACCTGACATCCACCAGGAAGTAGCAGCCAATAGAGAAAGGACCAAGGCAGAGACATCTCCAGCTCATCCCTTGTTTGGGTATCAGTCAGCACGTCAACGACTTAAATCACGAAATAGTTTTCTTAATCTACAAAGACACTCGCTGGAACACCCCAGCAAGCGAGAGTCCAAAAGTGGCAGGCTCAAACCCAGCACCTCAATCAATGACAAATACCAAATGAGAGACTCCCCCCTGGGCACACAGAAGACTGGGCGACTTGGAAGGCGCTGAACAGACTGCGCTCTGGCACTACGAGATGCTGAGCCAACCTCAAGAAATGGAGCCACAAAATGGAGTCCACGACATGCAAGTGCGGAGAAGAGCCCTGAGCCCTGCCACATGCACAATGGAGGACCACCTCAAAGCAACACCAGAGGCACTTCAAGTGGCCAACTACTGGTCAAAGGACATTTAACAGAATGCCAAGTTTTTAAACTTTGTGTTTTTTAAAAAATACATTACAACTGTACTCTTGGTTCACTTCTGATATGAGAAATAAACTGACCCTCTTTTTTTCCAGGACCCCGAACAGGAGATGAACAAGCAGCAGATTGAGGAGGAGAGGAGAAAGGAACAGATTGAGGAAGAGAGGAAAAGGAAGGAGAGGAAAGCAGCCAAGAAGAAGGGAACGAAGAAGAAGGAGAAGAAGAAGAAAATGAAGAAGAAGGCAGGAAAGGCCCAGAGGGAGGAACTCTGATGCTGCATCTACACTTGCTTTTAATCTAGTTTCTGAATCCATATAATTATCTGCCTTGAACTGGATTTTGGACTTCAACTCCCACAATTCCTAGCAGCCGGTATTATATTATTATTATATTCCATAATATATATATTTTGCTTTATTTTATTATTATTATATTCCTATTATATATTTTGCTTTATTTTATTATTATTATATTCCTATTATATATTTTGCTTTATTTTATTATTATATTACTATTATATATTTTTCTTTATTATTATTTTATTCTATGTTATATATTATGATTTTTGCTTTATTATTTTATTTGTCTGTTATTAAATTTTAACATTAGGAATGGTGAGAGTTGAAGTCCAAAACACCTGGAGGCAGGGCCGAAGTGGGTTCAATGCCAGTTCTAGACTGTCATACCATCCAGTTCAAATCAGATGCAGAAACTGGATTATTTCCTGGCATCGATAGGCCTGGATGCCCTCTTATGGGAAGTTCTAAGTTTATTTCAAATTTTAATAAATGGGGTGTTTCCCTATCCTCAAATTGAGATTCCAGTTGTATACTCTGGGCTGAAAGAGGGTGTATGTTTTTGAGCATGCGCAGAGAAGAGGCATGGTAGAAGGGTTAAGGAAGTGGTCTGCAAACACTTAGAAACAAATGCGGTCATTGCTAATAGTCAACATGGATTTATCAAAAACAAGTCATGCCAGACTAATCTGATCTCTTTTTTCGATAGAGTTACAAGCTGGGTAGATGCGGGGAATGCCGTGGATGTAGGTACCTGGATTTCAGTAAGGCCTTCGACAAGGTCCCCCATGACCTTCTGGCAAACAAACTAGTCCAATGTGGGCTAGGCAAAACTACGGTGAGGTGGATCTGTAATTGGTTAAATGGACGAACCCAGAGGGTGCTCACCAATGCTTCCTCTTCATCCTGGAAAGAAGTGACAAGTGGAGTGCCGCAGGGTTCCATCCTGGGCCCGGTCCTGTTCAACATCTTTATTAATGACTTAGATGAAGGGTTAGAAGGCAGGATCATCAAGTTTGCAGACAACACCAAATTGGGAGGGAATGATATCGAGCTCTTTTGGGGGGTCCCTCCGGGGGGGGAGCCCTAGGACTACACCAAAGAGAGTCCTGGATACCTTGGTGAGATTTTCCGGAAGCCAATCCAAGAGCGCAGGAATATTTTAAAATATAATAAGCTCACCAGAGGCGGAAGAAGTCCAGCGATCGAGGTTTATTTGCGATTCAGCTGAAAAGGATGCATTACAGGAATCATTCCACTGTAAGCATGCAGCACAAAGATTTTCAGGCATTTTTATACAGTACAAGACAAAGAAAGCAGTTTGAAACTCCCGCCCGCCCCCTGTCAGCCGGCTTCGCGCTGATTGGCTGAGGCTGGAACAGCTGGGAGGAGGTTTGACAGCCCGCCTCCGTCAGCCAATCAGAGCGTTCCTGCGCCTCGGGAGGGCCAATGGGCGCCCTCTGCTCGCTTCTGAGTTTGGACCAATCAGGAGCGCGGAGGCGGGACGGCCGCAGACAAAGGGGAAAGATGATGGGATTTGGATTTCCTGCCCGCTGGAATGCGGGCTTTGTCTTGGGCGGGAAAAGGGTGATAATTGGCAAACAAAGAGCTTTCCTGCCCTTGATGGGTCTGGCGAGTGATTTGAATGGGCTGGTTCGAAATCGGGCCTCCCGGGGGGTCAACAACATCTGGGTGAATTAATCAGTCTCTTTTTCCGGGGCTCTGCTGACCCCCTTCCCTCGCTGGCCTTGCTCCGATGGCTAGGGCTGGGGATCAGCAGCATTGTCCATGCTGATGAGTCAATCAATGGGTGATTGAGGAAGAGGCTGGGGCTCTTTCCTCAGGCAGTTCCTGGTCACGCCGGTTTTGTGGGGCGAAGGTCAAGGGGGTGAGGATACAGAGGAATTCATAAGGGTTACATATATCATAATCATCATAAGACATAGGCATCACTAACTTACAGGCATTTCATAATTTTTACAACCTACAATCTATCCCAACCCCAGTTCATTACAGTAAGAAAATATTTTATTTATTTCATAAAAAGGAAAAGGAAAACTGGAAATCCCAAAGTCCGGGCGAAGGGGCTTGGAGGTGGAGGCCAGCCCATGGCCCGGGCTGGCCAACAGAAGATCGGTTCTTCCTTGAAGCAGGAGCTGGAGCTGAAGGGGGAGCTGGGTTCCACTGCTCTGTCCTTGGTGAAACTAGCGCTCCCAACCGAGGATCGGGCCTCCCTGCCCGATCCTCCTCTCCCAAGGCTCCCCCTTGGGCAACGGCGGTGGATCCCCGGTGGCGGGGGCCATGCAGGAGCGAGCGGCAGCGAGCGGAATGAAGCGGTCCGGAAAAGCCGGCGAAAATTTGACAATCAGCTGTTGACTCGGCCAGATTTAATATTTAAACAAAAACATTTATTTCCCCGGGTGCGGGAGTCCAAAATGAAAAAACCAAGATGGCAGTTAGTCTTAGAATTTAATGTAGAAAAATATGAAATTTGAACGGGGCCGATCCGCCATGTTGTTGTTTTGGCGGATAAGGGGGCCCATTAGGAAAACCTCCGTATCCGCGGTTTTAACTAACGCAGATTTGGGGGCCCGGGGAGGCCAGGAAGGCATCCCCGGTGAGCTCACGGTTCCCCGGAGCTCAGAAAAAGGCTTATTTTATGTTAGAAAAGTTTCAGTCAGTAAAGGACACAAAGTATCAAGCGGAAAGGATTTAAAGTTTCAAATCTTAAGTGTTTTATTAGGGGCTTTGTTACAAAGAGAGGGAGAGGGGAAAGTGAAAGAAAAGCTTCTTGCAGCCTTGAGTTTAGCTTGAGCTGCTCGCTGGGGCACATTCCATCAGTCAGACCCAACTTGGCTCTCCGGAACTGCGGAACTCCCTGCTGCGGTTCAGACTAGCTTGAAGGCAGGATCATCAAGTTTCCCGATGGCACCAAATTGGGAGGGATAGCCAATACTTCAAGACAGGAGCAGAATTCAAAACGATCTTGACAGATTAGAGAGATGGGCCAAAACTAACAAAATGAAGTTTAACAGTGACAAATACAAGATACTCCACTTTGGCAGAAAAAACGAAAGGCAAAGATACAGAATGGGGGACAAAGCCTTCCTTGGAGAGCAGTACGTGTGGAAAAAGATCTTGGAGTCCTCGTGGACAACAAGTTAAACATGAGCCAACAATGTGATGTGGCGGCAAAAAAAGCCAATGGGATTTTGGCCTGCATCAATAGGAGCATAGTGTCTAGATCTAGGGAAGTAATGCTACCCCTCTATTCTGTTTTGGTTAGACCACATCTGGAATATTGTGTCCAATTCTGGGCACCACAATTCAAGAGAGATATTGACAAGCTGGAATGTGTCCAGAGGAAGCGACTAAAATGATAAAAGGTCTGGAGAACAAGCCCTATAAGGAGCGGCTTAGAGCTGGGCATGTTTAGCCTGAAGAAGAGAAGGCTGAGGAGATGATACCATGTATAAATATGTGAAGAAGCCACAGGGAGGAGGGAGCAAGCTTGTTTTGTGCTTCCTGGAGACTAGGACACGGAACAATGGCTTCAAACTACAAGAGAGGAGATTCCATCTGAACATGAGGAAGAACTTCCTGACTGTGAGAGCCATTCAGCAGTGGAACTCTCTGCCCCGGAGTGTGGTGGAGGCTCCTTCTTTAGAAGCTTTTAAGCAGAGGCTGGATGGCCATCTGTCAGGGGTGATTTGAATGCAATATTCCTGCTTCTTGGCAGGGGGTTGGACTGGGTGGCCCATGAGGGCTCTTCCAACTCTTTGATTCTATGATTCTATGATTCTAAGGGAGGTGGAGAGTGTGAGCATGCGCAGAGGAGAGTTCTGAGATGGGAGGTGTTGTGTCTGGGAGCATGCGCAAAGAAGAGGCACAGTAGACAGGAGTAACTTTGGGCATGCGCAGAGAAGAGTTCTGAGATGGGAGGTGGAGTTGTGTCTTTGAGCATGCACAAAGAAGAGGCTCAGTAGGCAGGAGTAACTTTGGGCATGCGCAGAAGAGAGTTCTCTGTATATAGGGACGACTTTGAGCATGCGCAGAAAAGAGTTCTCAGATGGGAAGTGGAGTGTGTCTTTGAAAATGCGCAAAGAACCTCCTCAGTGGAAGGGAGGCGGAGAGCGACTGAGCATGCGCAGGGAATAGACTCCGATTGGGCGTGCGTGTGTTGAGCTGCAGGGTGGCGCTGCTTTTTTCCCCAAGTGGCCACGCCCCTGGCTTTCGGAGGCCACGCCCCTCCCGGCGGCGGCGGTGGCGGCGGAGCAAGATGGCGGCGCTGGGCTCGCTGGGCGGAGGAAGTGCCGCGCAGGTAAGGCGGAAGACAGAGGGAGAGCCCCGGAGCTCTCGGTTAACCGGCAGGTCGGCTGGATGAAGGCGCTTTCCGGCTACCTGAGAGCCCCGCCCGATCCCTCCTTACAGATGGCCACCTGGCCTCATTCATCAATATCATGAGCTCCAAGGGGGAACTTAGGGCGGAAGAGGCCCACCCGGGACACAGGCCGATCCCCCCCGGCAGATGGCCGTCCACATTGAACGTTTCACAGGGAAACAGGGCTAGAGAGTCATAGAAGCCTCAAGTTGGAAGAGACCTTCAATCAGGCAGGAATACCCACTCCGATCTCTCCCAACAGATGGCCGTCCAGCCTCATCTGCATTGAACGTTTCACAGGGAAATAGGGCTAGGGAATCATAGAAGCCTCAAGTTGGAAGAGGCCTTCAATCAGGCAGGAATACCCAATCCGATCCCTCCTGACAGATGGCCGTCCAGCCTCATCCACGTTGAACGTTTCACGGGGAAATAGGGCTAGAGAATAATAGAAATCTCAAGGTTTAAGTGGCCTTCAATCAGGCAGGAATACCCAGTGCGATCCCTCCCAACAGATGGCCGTCCAGCCTCATCTGCATTGAATTTTTCACGGGGAAATAGGGCTAGAGAATCATAGAAGCCTCAAGTTGGAAGAGGCCTTCAATCAGGCAGGAATACCCACTCCGATCCCTCCTGACAGATGGCCGTCCAGCCTCGTCCACATTGAATGTTTCACGGGGATATAGGGCTAGGGAATCATAGAACCCACAAGTTGGAAGAGGCCTTCAATCAGGCTGGAATACCCACTCCGATCTTTCCTGACAGATGGCCGTCCAGCCTCGTTCACATTGAACGTTTCACGGGGAAACAGGGCTAGGGACTCATAGAAGCCTCTAGTTGGAAGAGGCCTTCAATCAGGCAGGAATACCCAGTGCGATCCCTCCCGACAGATGACCATCCAGCCTCATCCACATTGAACGCTTCACGGCTAAATAGGGCTAGAGAATCATAGAAACCTCAAGTTGGAAGAAGCCTTCAATCAGGCAGGAATACCCAATCTGATCTCTCCTGACAGATGGCTGTCCAGCCTCGTCCACATTGAACGTTTCACGGGGAAACAGGGCTAGGGACTCATAGAAGACTCAAGTTGGAAGAGGCCTTCAATCAGGCAGGAATACCCACTCCGATCCCTCCTGACAGATGGCCGTCCAGCCTCGTCCACATTGAACGTTTCATGGGGATATAGGGCTAGAGAATCATAGAAGCCTCAAGTTGGAAGAGGCCTTCAATCAGGCAGGAATGCCCAATCCGATCCCTCATGACAGATGGCCGTCCAGCCTCATTCACGTTGAATGTTTCACGGGGAAATAGGGCTAGAGAATCATAGAAACCTCAAGGTTTAAGTGGCCTTCAATCAGGCAGGAATAACCAATCCGATCCCTCCCGACAGATGGCCATCCAGCCTCGTCCACATTGAACATTTCACGGGGAAATAGGGCTAGAGCATCATAGAAACCTCAAAGTTTAAGTGGCCTTCAATCAGACAGGAATACCCACTCCGATCCCTCCCAACAGATGGCCGTTCGGCCTCGTCCACATTGAACGTTTCACAGGGAAACAGGGCTAGAGAATCATAGAACCCTCAAGTTGGAAGAGGCCTTCAATCAGGCAGGAATATGCAATCCGATCCCTCATGACAGATGGCCGTCCAGCCTCGTCCACATCAAACATTTCACAGGAAAATATGGTTAGGGAATCATAGAACCCACAAGTTGGAAGAGGCCTTCAATCAGACAGGAATACCCAGTCCGATACCTCCTGACAGAAGGCCTTCCAGACAGCTTTCTTCCTCGCATTGTGATGGGATCTCTTTTCCTACCATTGGAAGCCATTGTGTCCCAGGCCCCTTCTCTGCTGCCACATTATTCCATCATCCACATTATTCCTTGCTTTGAACTGGATTGTATGAGTCGCCACTGGCTGCCATATACTTCCATTCAAAGCAGACCATCTGGCAGGGTAGAAGACAGGCTGAGTCTGTGGAGCAGCAGAGAGCAAGCTCTCCTCCTCCTCCGCCTCCTTTCATATCTCTGTATTTACCTATCAACTTGACTCTCCTGTTTTATTATCGTCCTTCTCTTCAAGCCAAACCTTGAGCCATTTCTGATCCATCTCCTTGAACGTTGAGATCCAGAACCGGACTCAACCGTATTCCAAAGCCAAAGAAGTGAGTGCGGCTTGGTCTACACTTGGCATGGTCCAACTTTGGCCCTCCCTCCAGGTGTTTTGGACTTCAACTCCCACAATTCCTAACAGGCATAGACCCGTACCTATTATTGTTGTTGCTATAGCATTGCACTTCCTTCCCGGGGCCCCTAGAATTTTTGATCTTGCAGTAATCTCGGCCCAGCCTTTTAAATTGCCTTGAACAGGCAGGATTACTTTTAATATATATGTGTTATGGCGACAATTTTTATGCTTATATTGTTTTGTTAATCTTATAGTTATGTTGTTTACTCTGTATGTATTGATGATGTTACTTGGAAACTGCTCTGAGTCCCCCCTGGGGTAATAGAGCGGTATATAAATAAAGTTTTTTTTATTATTATTATTCCCTTGACATTAAGTCTAGTCAAGTCCAACTCTGGTGGTTGGTGCACATCTTCATTTCTAAGCTGAAGAGCCGGCGTTGTCCATAGACACCTCCAAGGTCATGTGGCCAGCATGACTGCATGGAGTGCTGTTGAAGTACTCACATTTGCATGTTTTCGAACTATGTTAGCAGAAGCTGGAGGAGCCCCGGATGGCGCACTGGGTTAAACCCCTGTGCTGGCAGGACTGAAGACTGACAGGTCGCAGGTTCGAATCCGGGGAGAGGCGAATGAGCTCCCTCTATCAACTCCAGCTCCTCATGCGGGGACATGAGAGAAGCCTCCCACAAGGATGATAAAAACATCAAATCATCCGGGCGTCCCCTGGGCAACGTCCTTGCAGACGGCCAATTCTCTCACACCAGAAGCGACTTGCAGTTTCTCAAGTCGCTCCTGACACGACAAAAAAAAATCAGAAGCTGGGCCTAACAGCTGGAGCTCACCCTGCTTCCCGGATTCAAACCACCAACCTTTTGGTCAGCAAGTTCAGCAGGTTAACCCGCTGTGTAAACGGGGGTTATACTACACTGACCTATATTCCAGGATATAACAGTAGTAGTAGTAATAATAATAATAATAATAATAATAATAATAAACTTTATTTATATTTCGCTCTATCTCTCCAAAGGGATTCAGGACGGATTGCAGATATAAAAGGCAAACATTCAATGTCCAAATACAACAACAGTACATCCATACTAACAAAATTTATACAACCCATATAAATAGTCAAGTCCAACTCTGGTGGTTGGTGCTCATCTTCTTTTCTGAGCCGAAGAGCCGGCGTTGTCCATAGACACCTCCAAGGTCATGTGGCCAGCATGACTGCATGGAGTGCCATTGAAGTACTCACATTTGCATGTTTTCGAACTATGTTAGCAGAAGCTGGCCCTAACAGCTGGAGCTCACCCTGCTTCCCAGATTCAAACCACCAACCTTTTGGTCAGCAAGTTCAGCAGCTCAGCAGGTTAACCCGCTGTGCCAACGGGGGTGATACTACACTGGCCTATATTCCAGGATATAATAGTAATAATAATAATAATACTTTATTTATATTTTGCTCTATCTCCCCAAAGGGACTCAGGGCGGATTGCAGACATAAAAGGCAAACATACCATGTCCGATTACAACAACAATACATCCATACTAAGAAAATTTATACAACCCAACATATAAATACGAATTATAACTTAACAAACTAAAATTAAATAAAAAGCACAGCCTGTTATAACAGACCTAAGACAAAACATCAAACATCAAATGGAAACAATAATCCCACTCCAGATCATCTGCTTTGAACTGGATTATATTAGTCTACACTGCCATATAGTCCAGTGTCAAAGCAGATAATCTGGATTTTATATGGCAGTGTTGATGGGACCTCCGTGGCTATGCATCCATTATTAGTATTAGAATATTCATTATTATTATTATTATTATTATGTTTATTTTTCTCTCCACAAGGAGACCCAAAGTAGGTATGGACTACAAGTTAAACATGAGCCGACAATGTCATGCAGCAAAAAAGCCAATGGGATTTTGGCCTGCATAAATAGGAGCCTAGTACCTAGATCCAGGGAAAGCATGTTCCCCATGCTCTATTCTTTTCTGCCTTGGTCAGACCATGTTCCCTGGAATCCCACTGTGTCCAATTCTGGGCACCACAAGTGAAGGGAGATGTCATGTCTAAGCTGGAATGTATCCAGAGGAAGTGTGCAATTAAAATGATCAAGGGTCTGGAAAAACACCCCTATGAGGAGTGGCTTAAAGAGCTGGGTTTGTTTAACCTCCAGAAGAGAAGGCGGAAGGAGACATGATGAGGGCCATGGATCAAGAAGGGAGGGGAAGTCATAGGGAGGAGGGGGCAGGTTTGCTTTCTGCTGTCCTGGAGACTAGGACGCAGAAAAATGGCTTCAAAACACAGGATAGAAAGGAGATTCTTCCTGAACATGAGGAAGAACTTCCTGACTGTGAGAGAAAGCTGTTCAGCTGTGGAACTCTCTGCCCCGGAGTGTGATAGAGGCTCCTTTTTTGGAAGCTTTTAAACAGAGGCTGGGTGGCCATCTGACGGGGGTGCTTTGAATGTGATTTTCCTGCTTCGTGACAGAATGGGGTTGGACTAGATGGCCAACCAGGTCTCTTCCAACATCTCCCTTCAATTGCAGTGTCCGGAATCGGACACTGTGTGATTCCAGGTGTGGTCTGACTAAGGCAGAATAGAGGGGTAGCATGACTACCCTGGATCTTGGCACTAGATTCCTATTTATCCAGGCCAAAATCCCATTGGCTTTTTTTTTGCCACCACATGACAAAATCGACTCCAAAAATCTGGGTTGTAAGTTTTTTGGGCTGTCTGGCCATGTTCCAGAAGCATTCTCTCCTGATGTTTTGCCCACATTTAAGGCAGTCATCCTCAGAGGTTGTAAGGTCTGTTGGAAACCAGGAAAATGGGGTTTATATATATATATCTGTGGAATAATGCCCAGGGTGGGAGAAAAAACTTGTTTGTTTGAGGATGATGTGAATGTTTCAATTGGCCACCTTGATTGGCTTGTTACTGCCTGGGGGAATCCTTTGTTGCGAGGTGATTATCTGTCCCTGATTGCTTCTTGTCTGGAGTTCCCCTGTTTTTGAGTGTTGTTCTTTATTTACTGTTATGATTTTAGAGTTTTTTTTAATACTGGGAGCCAAATGTTGTTCATTTTTGTTCAGCTCCACTGGCTGCTGTTTATTTTCCGGTCCCAATTCAAGGTGCAGGTTATCACCTACAAAGCCCTAAACGGTTTGGGACCCGCCTACATTTGTGACTGTATCTCCCACCGTGAACCATCTCGGGCCCTCCAATCTTCCGGGGAGGCCCTTCTCTCGCCCCTGACAGTCTCTCAAGCTCGCCTAGTGAGTACAAGGGAGACAGCCTTTTCCGCTGTGGCTCCCCTAATCTGGAACTCACTGCCTGGAAAAATTAGGAAAGCCCCTTCTCTAGAAATCTTCAAAAAGAACCTTAAAACCCGGCTCTTACGCTGCACCTTTGATGAGTAGGTATATAATCCCACATGATTGCTCTGTCTCCAAGTTCTGTCATTGGAGTATACGTCCCCCCTCATGGGAAAGCTTGCTTCCACAACTCCCGCTGGAATGAGCCCTCCTCCGTAAATTACCTGCTTCCCTCTTTTATCTCGCCCGAGCTTTTAATTAGTTTTAATCAGTTTGTCCTTTTAATTACTACATGGCCTTTGACCTGTGGGGTCCCGCAAGGTTCCATTCTGTCTCCCATGCTCTTCAACATCTACATGAAACCACTGGGAGAGATCATCCGGAGTTTTGGAGTCGGTTGCCATCTCTACGCAGATGACACGCAACTCTACTACTCTTTTCCACCAAACTCCAAGGAAGCCCCTCGCATGCTGGACGAGTGTCTGACCGCTGTGGCTGTCTGGATGAGGAAGAACAAGCTGAAGATCAATCCCGACAAGACAGAGGTCCTCCTGGTCGATCGTAAACCGAATCGGGGTATAGGGTGGCAACCTGTGCTGGACGGGGTTACACTCCCCCTGAAGTCACAGGTCCGCAGTTTGGACCTGGACTCATCACTGTTGGTGGCTGGGAGGGCCTTTGCACAATTAAGACTCGTGCGCCAACTGCGACCATACCTCGTGAAGGCGGATCTGGCCAGGGTGGTCCACGCCTTAGTCACTTCCAGATTGGACTACTGTAATGCACTCTACGTGGGGCTGCCCTTGAAAACGGCCCGGAAATTCCAATTGGTCCAACGAGTGGCAGCCAGGTTGTTAACTGGTGCTCCTTACAGGGAGAGGTCAACCCTCCTGTTTAAGGAGCTCCACTGGCTGCCATTCATTTTCCGGTCCCAATTCAAGGTGCAGGTGCTTACCTACGAAGCCCTAAACGGTTTGGGACCCGCCTACCTGCGTGACCGCATCTCTGTGTACGAACCCACACGATCTCTTCGTTCATCTGGAGAGGCCCTGCTTACGATCCCACCGGAATTGCAAGCGTGATTGGTGGGGACGAGGGATAGGTCTTTCTTGGTGGTGGCCCCTCGACTCTGGAACTCTCTCCCTAAGAACATCAGGCAGGCCCCATCGCTAGCAATCTTTAGGAGGAGCTTGAAAACGTGGTTGTTCCAGTGTGCCTTTCCAGAATAAAGAAACTCCTAGCATTATGTCCCAACGCACTTTATCAGAGATTCTGGATATCTGCATGCCCATCCCCCTCCAAACTCCCCACCTTGCCATGCCCAGCACTTTTAATTTTTAATTATTACATTTGGCCCGGCCATTGTTTTGAATTGCGTCATTGGGTGTTGTCAATGTTATTTCTTTGTTTTTTTGAGTTATTGCATTGTTGTTGTTGCTGTTTTTATTGTTGTATTTGGGCTCGGCCTCTTGTAAGCCGCACTGAGTCCTTCAGGAGATGGTAGCGGGGTACAAATAAAGGTTTATTATTATTATGTTTGTGCGCCAGCTGCGCCCGTACCTTGGGAAGTCTGACTTGGCCACGGTAGTCCACGCTCTGGTTACATCCCATTTAGACTACTGCAACGCTCTCTACGTGGGGTTGCCTTTGAAGACGGCTTGGAAGCTCCAACTAGTCCAACACTCGGCAGCCATGATACTAACAGGAGCGGAGCGCAGGGAGCATACAACTCCTCTGCTGCACCAGCTCCACTGGCTGCCGATTTGCTACCGGGCTCAATTCAAAGTGCTGGCGTTGGCCTATAAAGCCCTAAACGGTTTTGGCCCAAGTTACCTATCCGAGCGTATCTCTGCCTATGAACCCACCAGGACTCTTAAGATCTTCTGGGGAGGCCCTGCTCTCGATCCCGCCTGCATCGCAAGCATGGCTGGTGGGGACGAGGGACAGGGCCTTCTCTGTGGTGGCCCCTCAGCTGTGGAACGCCCTTCCCATGGACATTAGATCAGCCCCTTCGTTAATCGTGTTTCGAAGAAAACTAAAAACCTGGCTGTTTGAACAGGCGTTCAGATAAATAGTGCAATTGAACGATGAATATAGGAACGGATGTATGGATGACGAATTGGATCACGATTTTAGTTACGAGATGCTAATGTGTTGTTATTAATGTGTCATTATTTGTATACTAGGCTGTTAACGGTTTTTAAATATTGTATGTTGTACGATTGACTTTTTTGCTCTTGTTGTGAACCGCGTTGAGTCGCCTACGGGCTGAGAAACTGAGATACAAGCAAAGTAAATAAATAAATAAATAAATTATTATTATCATTACATGTTGCCGGCCCATTATTATTGTGCCTGTGCATATTCTTTATTTTTCATATTGCTATGTATTCATGTGTTTTATGTAACTGTGATGTTATTGTTTTGTTGTTCGTATTTTCGGTTTGTGTTTTTTGGTTTTTCTTTCTTGTAATTGTCATTTGGGCTTGGCCTCGAGTAAGCCGCCCTGAGTCCCCATTGGGGAGATGGAGGCGGGGTATCAAATAATAATACATTATTATTATTATTATTATTATTATTATTATTATTATTATTATTATTATTCTGTGATGAATGGGAAGACTGGCATTGGACACTGGGTCTCACCTTTCCTCTCTCTGTTTGTTTTTCTCACTCAGCTCGCCTCCGGGACTCCTCTCTACGAGACGTTTTACAAACAGGCAAGTGAGAGGGCGAGGCTCACCTGGGGTTGGGTGAAGGCCGTGTTTTGGGGTTCAGCAGCTGCTGACGCTGCTTGTTTTGCAGGTGGATCCATCTGGAACAGGGAGAGTCGGGGCCAGCGATGCCGCCCTCTTCCTCAAGCAGTCCGGCTTGCCCGACGCCATCCTCGGAAAGGTGAGTCTGCCTTGGCAATAACTAGCCTTTTGGAAAATGACATTCATAACCTTTTGCAAAAACACCTTTTGGAAAGCATAACTTTTTAAAGAAAAGCATGACTTTTCGGAGGACAGCCGAAAACCCTTTAGACACTGGTTCTCAACCTTCCTAATGCCGCGACCCCTTAATACAGTTCCTCATGTTTTGGTGACCCCCAACCATAAAATTATTTTAATTGTGACTTCATAAATGCAATTTTGCTACTGTTATGAATCGTAATGTAAATATCCGATATGCAGGATGTATTTCCATTCACGGGACCACATTTGCCACAAATACCCAATATGCCCAAATTTGAATACTAGTGGGGTTAGGGGGAGGGAATGGTTTTATCATTTGAGAGTTGTACTTGCTGGGATTTATAGTTCGCCTACAATCAAAGAGCATTCTGATCTTCACCAACGATGGAACTGAACCAATCTTGGCACACAGAACTCCCATGACCATCAGAAAACACTAGCAGGCTTTGGTGGGCATGAGTCTTGAGTTTGGGAGTTGTAGTTCATCTACATCTGTGGACTCAATCAATGATGGATCAGGACCAAATTTGGCACAAATACTCAATATGCCCAAATGTGAACACTAGTGGAGTTTGGGGGAAATAGACCTTGGCATTTGGGAGTTGTAGTTGATGGGATTTATAGTTCACCTACAATCAAAGAACATTCTGAACCCCACCAACAATAGAATTGGACCTAACTTTCCACATGTAACCCAGATGACCAAGAGAAAATATGGTGTTTTCTGATGGTCTTCGGCGACCCCTCGGACACCTTCTCGCGACCCTTCCAGGGGTCCCAACCCCCAGGTTGAGAAACACCGCTTTAGATTAGAATCTTCTCTTGTGATATACAATCAGATATAATTATGCAAGGCAATGGTTTCAGTTGTTAGACTGAATAACCTGATATTTCCGATCAGGAGTGTTTTTCAGTTCCCGAAAAACTTATTATTTATTCTGTGATGAATGGGAAGACTGGCATTTGTATACCGGTCTTCTCACCTCTGTCGAGGGACTCAGGCCGGTTTCCAACAGTAATATCACAAACAGTCATTAAAAACATCATATTACATATTAAACTAAAAACATTAAAATAGCAAACTTGTTTTCTATCATGCATTCGAGACAAAAATAAAGTAGGCTTTGATGGAAATTGCATATTATTAATATCATTATTATTTACAGTATTTATATTTTGCCCTTCTCACCTCGCAGAGGACTCAGGGCACATTACAATATACATATACATGGCTAACATTCAATGCCATAGACACACAACATATATAGACAGACACAGAGACACTTTATCATTCCAACTTTTCATGAGGGTATTCCTGGCCACCAGGGGAGCTGTTGCTTCACCATCCATTTGTGACACTGATGAAGTACTTCCTCATTCTTTGCAGGCTTGCTGGAGATTTTGATGGCATCTTAAATTAGTTATATTAGCCTTCCCACATAGGCGGTACCTAAATTTCCTACATGACAGATGCAACTGTCTTTCGGGCTGCAAAGGTCGACAGCAAGCTACACAAATTGATCGGACACTCACTCCGACCTGGGCTGGCTTCGAACTCATGACCTTTCGGTCAGTAGTGATCTTAATGCAGCTGACTCCCAGCCAGCTGCACCACAGTTTTTGGTTTACTAACAAGCTTCATGTGTTCAGCATACACAGGTACAAAAACTTATTAGTTCAGTTTAAAATATTTTTGAGATTTGTTGTTGAAGGCTATCATGGCTGGACTCACTGGGTTGCTGTGAGTTTTCTGGGCTGACTGGCCATGTTGCAGGAGCATTATCTCCTGACATTTCACCCACATTTATGGCAGGTATCCTCAGAGGTTAAGGTTTCTTTTGGAAACTAGACAAGTGGGGTTTATATATCTGTGGAATAATGCCCAGGGTTATAGTAAGAACTCTTATCCGTTTGTGGCAAGTCTGAATGCCTTAATTGATCACCTTAATTATGATTGAATGGCCTTGCAGCATCAACGCTTGGCTGCTTCCTGCCTGGGGGCGATCCTTTGTTAGCTGGCCCTGAAAGAACAACACTGAAAGAATAACACTAAAAATGGGATTTCCAGAAAAGAAACAATCAGGGGCAGCTAATTGCCTCCCAACAAAGGATTCCCCCAGACAGGAATTAGCCACGCCTTGAAGCTGCAAAGCTTTTCAATGCTAATCAATTGCAGCATTCACACTTGCCTCAAAGAGACAAGAGTTCTTTCTCCCACCCTGGACACATTCCACATATATATAAACCCCACTTGTCTTGTTTCAAACAAACCACGTGGCCTCTGAAGATGCCTGCCATAGATGTGGCGAAATGTCAGGAGAGAATGCTTCTGGAACATGGGCAGACAGCCCGGAAAATTCACAGCAACCCAAACTTTGATATAGTTCCCTGTGCTATCCAACCAGCACATCTCTCTTGTAACAAAACAGCTACCAACAGGTCACATTGTCAAAAGGAGAGATAATAAAAGCATGTGGTCTGCAGCCCCTTTTGTAACTTCTCAGGAACCATAGAGTAAAGGAAGCTGCATACCAGAACTTACTTACTTACTTAGGCGATCCCTCGTTGGACGAGTAAGATGGTCTTCCATTATGGATTTCCTTGTGGGTCTGTATGTGGCTGTGGAGCCCTATTCTTGCTCTGCATCTTCTTCCGCAGTGAGGGCATTGGTTTCCAGGTGGAAGGCGGTCCCGGTCGGGGTTGGCTTGACGCGCCTTCCTCCTGGCACGTTTCTCTCTTTCACCCTCCACTCGTGCCTCCTCAAATTCTGCAGCACTGCTGGTCACAGCTGACCTCCAGCTGGAGCGCTCAAGGGCCAGGGCTTCCCAGTTCAGTGTCTATGCCAGAGTTTTAAAGGTTGGCTTTGAGCCCATCTTTAAATCTCTTTTCCTGTCCACCAACGTTCCGTTTTCCGTTCTTGAGTTCGGAGTAGAGCAACTGCTTTGGGAGACGGTGGTCAGGCATCCGGACAACGTGGCCGGTCCAGCGGAGTTGATGTTGGAGGACCATCGCTTCAATGCTGGTAGTCTTTGCTTCTTCCAGCACGCTGACGTTTGTCCGCTTGTCTTCCCAAGAGATTTGCAGGATTTTCCAGAGGCAGCGCTGATGGAATCGTTCCAGGAGTTGCATGTGACGTCTGTAGACAGTCCATGTTTCACAGGCATATAGCAGGGTTGGGAGGACAAAGGCTTTATAACAAGCACCTCGGTATCCCTACAAATGTCCCAGTCCTCAAACACTCTCTGCTTCATTTGAAAATGCTGCACTTGCAGAGCTCAGGCGGTGTTGTATTTCGGCGTCGATGTTGACTTTGGTGGAGAGGTGGCTGCCAAGGTAGCGGAAATGGTCCACATTTTCTAATGTGACACCATTAAGCTGTATTACTGGCATTGGAGAGGGATTGGCTGGCGACTGCTGGAACAGCACCTTGGTTTTCTCAATGTTCAGTGACAGGCCGAGCTTCTCATATGCTTCTGCGAAGGTGTTTAGAGTGGCTTGTAGATCTTCTTCTGAATGCGCACAGACGACATTGTCATCAGCATACTGGAGTTCTATAACAGCTGTTGTTGTAACCTTGGTTTTGGCTTTCAGTCTGCTGAGGTTGAATAGCTTGCCATCTGTCCGATAGATGATTTCCCCTCCGGTGGGAAGATTCCCATCAACAAGGTGAAGTATCATAGCGATGAAGATGGAGAATAGAGTTGGGGCAATAACACATCCCTGTTTGACACCTGATTCCACCTTAAATGGGTCACTTTGGGAGCCACTGCTGTCCAAGACTGTTGCCATCATGTCATCATGGAGGAGCCGCAGGATGTTTACAAATTTGCTTGGGCACCCGATTTTGTGGAGGATGGTCCAGAGAGCGCTGCGATTCACTGTGTCGAATGCCTTTGCAAGGTCGATGAATGCCATGTACAGAGGTTGGTTTTGTTCTCTGCATTTTTCTTGGAGCTGTCTTGCAGTGAAGATCATGTCCACGGTTCCTCTGGAGGGGCGGAAGCCGTTCTGGGATTCTGGGAGGGTGTCTTCTGAGAGGGGCAGAAGGCGGTTTGCAAGGATTCTTGCGAGGATTTTCCCAGCAGAGGTTAGAAGGGAGATACCTCGATAGTTTCCGCAGTCTGTTCTTTCCCCTTTTTTGAAGAGGGTGATGATGTGGCATCCTTGAAGTCTGCTGGGATTTTCTCGGTCACCCACACTTTTTCTATGAGCTGGTGGAGTTGGTGTGTCAGCTCAGGTCCTCCCTCTTTAAAGATTTCCGCAGGGATCCCATATGGTCCACTGGCTTTGTTATTCTTCTGTTGGCTGATGGCATTGTTGACTTCTTCCAAACTGGGCAGTGCTGCAAGCTCATCCCTGGTTTGTTGTTGTGGGATTTGTGAGAGGACCTCTTCGGCCACATTGGAGCTGCGGTTCAGGAGGCTTTGGTAGTGTTCTTTCCAACGTAGTGCAATTGAGTTTTGGTCCTTCAGGAGTTTGGTTCCATCTGATGAGCGTAGAGGCTGTATGCCATGGTTTCTTGGTCCGTAGATGACCTTTGTGGCTTTGAAAAATCCCTGAGCATTATGGGTATCTGCCAGGTGTTGGATTTCTTCGGCCTTCTTTTTCCACCAGATGTTCTTGAGCTCTCTTGTCCTTCTTTGGACCTCAGCTTTTGCACTGGCATAGATCTTTTTCTTAGCAGCACAGTTGATGTCTCTCTGCCATGCTTGGAAGGCTTTCCTTTTCTTGTCAATTAGCTGTTGGATCTCGATGTCATTTTCATCAAACCAGTCTTGATGTTTCTTGGCTTGGTATCCAATAGTTTCTTCGCAGGCTTGGATGATGGAGGTCTTCAGTTTGTTCCAATGTTCCTCAACATTTTCGGGGTGTACTGTGGGGAGATGGTCCTTGAGTGCTGTTTGGAGATGGGCTCGTCTGGAGGGCTCCTGAAGGGCT